GAACCGAGCTCGCAAGTTGGGGTTAAGTAAGTAAAAGTGTACATGTGTGTATACACAGATATGTGTACAATTTTGGGGCCGTGTGTTGTTTAAGGCAGAAAATGAAAACAAGGACTAAGGGCTCTGAACTCTGCTCAGCCAGACACGCGCACGGGGTCCCTGGTGCAGGCAGGGCAGACGCGCGGTTTGTCTTCCAAGCGCCCGGATTGCAGCCCGGACCCCCGCTGGGCGACCCCCAGCCCTGCGCCTGAGTGGCACCCCGGTTCCGTCGGGAGGTGCAGCGGGTGCCTGCGCGGACCGAGTGTCCCGCCCCGCGGCAGTGGTGGGCGTTCGGGACCCCCTGTCTAATTTGAAAAAGTGACGCAAGTAGTAAATGGACACCCCCTTATGTAATATTTAGACAATCAGAAATGTGCAGTGGAAAAATCACCGCCCTCTCCCTAGCAGCCATGGCTTGGCGTGTGTCCTTCGGGACTTCGTAAAGTGCTCAGTTTATCTTTATACGCATAGACATTTGTAAAATCACACAGATAGAGTTATTTTTGCTTGGTTTGCAACATATGGTTTCATACTGTATGCCTGTCCTATGGCATTACTTTACACACTATTTTTTTTTTTTTTTGGTCTTTCATATTAAAAATAAACCTACCTCATTCCTTCACTGTTTCAAGGTGTCTCGTTGAATGAAGGTGTCGTAGTTTATCCGTTCCTCAGCCGGGGGCATGTTCATTCCTTAATAGTTGATGTTTCTGTGCGTGGACAGACCGGACAGTGAAGAAAACGTGGTTTCCGTCTTGTGTCTTTGTTTTGCAAGGAGACATTTGCGACCTTGGAGATGCTCACTGTGCTGATTCACGCAGAGTGTGTTCAAATTTTCTACCTGTGTGAGTTAACACATGGCCTCTCCCAAGGGAACGAGATAAGTTTTCGACCTGCCTGACCCCGGAAGTCTGAGGAGGTGGGACTTGACTATTGATTCCGTGGGTGCGGGTGGGGCCTGTCAGAATATGCCGGGAACTGATCGTCGGAAGGTGCCTGACATGCACTTTCGCCAGTTTCTCTGCTCCTTTTTCTTCCTCCCCTCCGAGTCACTGCCATCTACTCTGTACTAGACACGGTCCCTGTTACTGATCAGCTTCCAATGCAGTAAAACACAGTCATCAAATGGGAAGCAAACCGGACTGTGACAAGGAAGAGCTGTCATTAAGGTGGTTACAGCTGTAGGGACGCGGAAGGTGGGGCAGCGACCTCTGCCACCTGGGCCGCCCCGGGTGCCTCTGTCAATATTTGCGGAGAACTTCCTACGGCCCTGGGGACCCAGGCTGAGAATGTGCTGGAGCCGCGTGTCCCTTCTTGAGCGGTGCCTCCTGGTTTTGACCGGCGGAGGAGTGAGAGGGAGTTGTAAGTCACCCCCTGAAGGCAGCGATGGAACTTGAATTTCAAAGCTGCGTGAAAACGTGCTGTGTCACCCATAGGTGGTCTGTCAGACAAACACATGGGTCTCTGTGCTCTGGGGCCCCTCGCTGTCCTAGCAGTCAAAAGTCAACGTTCTAATAATTTGCTGATAAAGCACAAGTGTGGTTTGCCTGTGTTTGTGTGTTCATATGTGAGGCTCTTTGCCCCCTGTGCCTGCCCGGGCTGCACGCCCCCCCTCCCCCACCCCTGCCCGGCGCGCCCCCTCTAGGCAGACGTGTGCGTGTCCAGGACTCCGCAAGCCCGTGAGGCCGCGGGGCAGCCTGGCCCTCCGCCCCACATGGCTGCCAGACCCTGCTCTGCTCCGGATTAGCTGCTTGTGGGGCATGTTAGCTCTGGGATTCGGGTTAATCCTGCTTCTTTGTACACACTTTCTTACTACTTTCTCAGTCTCTGCACGCCCCAGGCTTCCAAAGTGGGCTGCTAGGCTCCCTTAGACTTACTCCTGGCTGACAAATGACGGCTCTTAACACGCCCTATGCCAGTGGAGGTGGCTGCTCACCTTGGCGCAGGCAGGACAAGGTCCTAAGTGTACGACTGCTGAGACCGGCGACCTTGGACTCGCCCAGTTCCCAGTGTTAGGGGTCATTTAGAAAATGCAGGTGGGGGATGCTGGTTGGTGCTTTCCTTGGGCCAAGGTTCTACTTTCACGAATTCGGTGCTAGAACCCAAGACCCACGGGAAATGAAAGCATGCCGTTCACTTTGTGCTTTAGTTTTGTGTCAGCTGAGCGCCGTCTGAAATGCTTTCATAGAAACCTGTGTGTCACCCCAGGCGATGGCAATTTTTAGGGACCTCGATGCAGTGACACAAAATGCTGGCTGTGGCGTAGGCTCTTTGTCGATATCCTACGCTGTGGTGGGTGTGAAATCTTACATAAAATTGTTAATTCTGAGAAAATGTATGTAGGCTAAGTGCTGCATTTTTAGATACTAGAGTTTTAATATAGTTTTTGAAAATTAAATTGTAATTATTTCAAGAGGAAATAGTTTGTTTGAATCCCATAATTTGGGATATTCTCTGCTTATAATTTAGGGTAAATGAATCTTTCTATTCAATATTTTGTAAACTAAAAGAAAAAAAAGAATGGGGCCAATTTGATCTTTTCTAAAAAGCATGGACTTAACTCTGCACTTTAAAAGCAGTTTAGGAGAGAAATTGTTAGTACATCAAACGCCTAAATGGGAAAATTAATTAATTAATTTTCACATAATAATGAACTTAGCAGAAAATTGAGGTGGCTGTATAGGTAACCTAGAGGTTGCCAAAAACCTTTTTAAACAGAAAGGAAAACGAGAATCCAGTGGGGAAAAATAGATATATTTGACTATTAAAATTACTGTAACGTTTGTACACTCATGACAGCTTAGGGGACAGTGCTTGATATGGAGATGTAAAGTGACAATCAAAACGTGCAGAGAGCTCTTCTTAGAAATTGATGACGAAAACTCTAACGCAGCCGCGCGCCCGGCAGTGGGGTACAGGCCGTCCACGGGGAAGCCCGCGCGTGGCTGGAAGAGCACCACAGACCCCGGCGCCGTGGGAGGGGGCATGCGGGGGAGAGACGGGCGGGGCCTGTCTGATGCGGGGGGCCTCCAGCGGTGGGCGCTGACCCTTCTGGGGGGAACACGCGCTGTTCCAGCCTTTGCAAAACGTGCCGTTTGCCATCATTTTGTAAGAGCACATTTATCATTTAATTCAGTGTGACTTCCAGGCACTGAGACCAGAGGTGGGCAGACCTCTTCTATGGTGGGCCAGAGAGTAAGCATGTTAGACTTTGCAGACTTCACGGTGTTTGTGGAGCCGCTCGGGTCTCTGGGCCCCACCGCTGAGCGCAGCGTTGGGAAGGGACGCGACACACTGTCAGCTGGCGCTTCCAGTGTGCGGCAGTGGGCCAGTATGTATGTGTAAATACACACTCAAGAGCATGCCTAGTGGTAAAACGGAAAGTGTTGAGTTTTGACCGTTACCTTTGTTGTTAATAATGATATAGTTGTGAGTTTATATCATTTGGTTTTGAGCTACGGCTGTGTTTCATAACCAGCTCCCCAAATTCCTAAAAGTCTAACAGTCTGCCCCCCTGGCTGGCGCTGGCTGGCGCCGGTGCTCCTGCGCACGAGGACGTTTCGCAGCTCGTTTATGACGGCGACACTAGGGATGTTGAATGAGCCGGACCGCATCGCACCCCGGAATGTTGAGCAGCGTGCTGCCTCTAGTGATTTCCACGAGTGTTGTTAAGTGGGAGGGTCAAGAGGTGGGGATGGCTGGGCTTCGTGACCCCATTTTCATAAACCAAGCGACAGCACGCTCCCCACTCTTCACAGGGGCCGCTCTGGTGTCCCTGTGGAGACTCTCGGAAAACCTCTTCCCTCAGAGCGGCTCGCTCTCTGCTTCCTGTCTCTGTCCGCCAATCATCTCTAGCCGACAGAGGATAAAGAGACTGTTGCCTAGTGGGTAGACCCTCTCCGCACTTCATGGCGTGGGCCATTGCCCGAGCACGCAGGGACCCCCAACGCCTTGGCTTCTGGCGAGTGTACCGGGCACAGCGGTTTTAGGAACATAAATTCCTTAGTTTTTAAAATAGCAGATTGTTAACGTGTGCCGACAGGATCCCCATGCAGGCAGGTTGCAGGCGCGTTCTCTTGCGGTGTTGGCAGGCTCTGGCTCTGTTGCTGGGACCCAAGGTGGGGGCACGCGCTGTGACCTCGAGCTGAGGATTTCCGAGTGCCTTCCATGTGAACTGGAGCCTTTACTTAGTCCCACGGCCGAGGGTTGGGGTGGTTTCTTTTCACTCAGCACTTGAGAAAGTGCACTAGTCAAGTGAACAGCTTACCGTATCCATTCTGTGGCAGATTGTCGCGATTATTGTGTGTGCTGGGGCTTTGAGCGCTGTGCTTGGCGGACACTTTGGAGCCGATTTTGTGGCTGAGAAGTACAAGTGGCTTCTGCCCGTGGCCCAGGCAGCAGCCCGAGCATCAGCCACTGGAGGCGGCGGAGGCTGCAGGGTTTCAGGAGCAAAACCTCCCGAATATTCGTGGAACGATGACTTCAGAACATGCCAGTGTTACCTCAGGGACACAAGATTGTGGTGTCCCTGAGGTTTCTGGCGTATCAGCGTTGGAGGGAAAATTGCCTGATGACGCGTGACCGAAGTGTGGATAAAATGTGGATTTCAGGGCGTGTTAGGAGACGCGATTCTTACACGGAACTGGAATCACTGAGTTAGTGCCCAGCCCCCAAGTGTGGGGGCTGCCTGAGGTGTGAGGACCCACGTGCCGTGTGAGGGAGTTGGCTTTTCTGTGGGATGGGGCGGGGGGGTGTCGTCACATCGAAACCCTTTGGGACCCGTTATGAGGGTACCTTCTCCTCTCTCCCTACCAAAAATTGGAACAGTAGTGAAATTCGAAGGCTCACCTATAAAAATGAAAATTAGATTGCTAAGTAGTGCTTCTTCATTGGTCTAGAAGTTTTCTTGGTTTGTCTGGGTGAAAACGACTGAATTTGACAAATTTTCCTTTTTCTTTTAGGCTCCGTTTATGAACCTCTCAAAAGCATCCACCTGCCGAGGCCCAGCCAGGAGACCCCGTGGGACAAGCTGGACCATTACTACAGGATCGGTGAGCAGAGCCCGTGGCCCGTCCTTGCTCTGACTTTCTGTCAGCTGTACGCTGTCCAGTGCCCGCGTGGCTCTGTATTCTAACTGCATGCCTGTGCCTGGACCGCCAGAAACGCGACAAGTCGTGGCCGCCCCTTATGACCGTCACCCATGCCTTCGGCCTCTGAGCATTCCCAGGCCTGGGAGCCGGAGGCCTCCCCGGCAAACACTGTGGGGGGTCCTGGCCCGTTCACTTGTCCCCCAGCTTTTCATAGCCACTTACGAGTCACAGTGACACGAAAGCGAGTCTCGGGGACTCTCGCTCATATTGGGTCCCTCCGCTGCTGCGGCTGCTCTGTTTTCGCCGGGATCAGCCTGGGAAACCGTGTTTTCCGTGTGAGTGAGTGACTGCGGGACACGCGTGCCCAGGGCCCTCTGTGTTCCCCAGGCCGCCAGTCGGAAGCGCCCGTTCGGTGTTTTGCCAGTTTGCTTCCTAGGCTGAAGGGTTAGCGTAGGGTTAGCGTAGGGTTAGCGTAGGGTGGCAGGAATGTAACTTTGAGTTGTCTGTCTTCGCCAAGGTAAGGATTTTTTGTTTGTTTGTTTCAACTTTACGTAAAACCTTAATTCACCTTATTTCGGTCAAGGTTCTGGTGTATATTTTTATGTTGCCCTTATTGCCTCTGTAGCCACAACTAGCTCACGAGATTGGCTGGAGAGATTTAACACGAGGTTGTGTCTGCATCTAAGATGAGAATCAGCAAAGCTGTCAGCAGGGGGAGGAGGTGGAGGGAGCCCCGGGGGCGGGGGCGGCGGTGCGTTCACACTCTCCCTCTCCTCCGGTCGCAGTCAAGTCCACGTTGCTGCGGTATCAGAGCCCAACCACGGGCCTCTTTCCCACGAAAACGTGCGGTGATGACCAGAAGGCCAAGACCCACGACAGCCTGTACTGTGCCGCGGCGGCCTGGGCGCTGGCCCTCGCGTACAGGTGAGCTGTGCGCGCCCCAGCCTGCTCCGTCTCGGTGGGGGCGGGGGGGCGAGGGGGGTAGCCGCCACCCAGACGGGCCGGTCTGCTGTCTTTTGGCTCTGCTGCCGCTGGCCCACTGTGTTGCATTTCTATACACCAGTATCAAACGATCAGGAGAAGAAATTAAGAAAGTGATCCCATTTACAATTGCATCAAGAAGCATAAAGTATCTAGGAATAAATGTAACCAAAGAGGAGATCCCTTGCTGTGATGGCCGACGGGGAGAGAGGTGCCCTCCTGCAAGACACCGTTCTGTCCCTCCCTTGTTGCATCTATCGCTGGCTTCGGAGTTCAGTGTAATAGGGGACCCTAGTAGGGCCAGCGAACAGTGGCTTCACCTCATAAATTCTGATTTTGTTTCCCTTGAGGTTTGCCTGTGGGGGAATAATGCACCAATGATAGGATTCAAGTGTCTACTTTGTTCACTAGTGATAAATGTATAGGTAGGGAATTCTGGTTTAGACATAAAATTAAGACTTCATATTATAGAAATATCCGATCAATACTCGCATAAAACCTGTGATCAACAAATTGACTAGAATTCAATGTAAAGTTGTTTCATTTATTTTTTAAAATTAAAACTATTCTTCAGCTCATATTAAAACTTAGATTTGCATACATATAGCTTGCTAAAAAAAGTTAAATTGCCGGTTCCTGGTCGAAAATAGAGGCATTATTTTGGCTCACTAGATTTATAAATAGGTCTGATGCCCAAATGTTTTCACTCCAATGCGACTGCTCTTTCATTTTCTCATTCAGAAGAGAATATTATGGTTACCATTTCATTTGCAGGAGCAACTTCATTAAAATAGCTTCTGTATTGTGGCTGAATTATTCTGGAATATTTCCATCTTGGTTTAGTGCTTGTTGGAATTAGAGGCAGAGGATTATTTTAAAGACAATTTCAGAAACACCCGATTTTGTTTTATTCTGCGGTATTATTATATCTTAGATGAGACAGGAGCTGTGCACAGAACATTCTGTGTCGCTCGCTGGCCTCCAACTGGGGGGTCGCCCCCCAGCAGTGCTCTAAGCCCGGCCGCCCGTGCTCTAAGCCACCGCGACGGAACCCCTTGCGTCTGATGGGGGTGCAGTGGGGCACAGAGTGAGCCCCGCTCATTCCCCTGCCTGGCCCACGTAGGCAGGAGGAGCAACTTGCCCCCTTGCTGACGCTCGCCACACTGTGGTCCCCATTCTTCCCAGCAGGGGCAATGAGGGCGCACGAGCCCACTGGCTTGAGGGGACGGGCGATACTTTTTGTCAAGCGGGGATGGCCGCCCTACGTCTTAGTTAAGATTTAGTGAAGTGAGGAGTAAGCCCCTTTTATTTTTCAGCAGTGGGAACTCTCATCTATGATAAGGACAGAGGACCATCATGGCCAAGTTTAGTGATTAAATTTGAGCTGTTCCCTCTTTTCAAAGGCAAGTGATGTAAACTGTGGTCAGTTGACTTTAAACTAAGACCTGAGAGTATGAAACGTCCTGCCCAAACCCATCAGGTGCCTTCCTGGATGTGTGTCTGCTTGAAGGTGTTCTTGACGGAAGCGCCACCTTGCATTGTTAAGTGGTAATTATTGACTGGCGTGAGGCGGGGCGGAGAATGCCCGCGCTTGCCAGAAGCAGCGCTTCCTCGGCTCCGAGAGGCCATTCTATAACCTAAAGGGGTTGTTATTAGAAATTGCCTCTGCCCTGTAACAGTGAGTTTTTAAAAAAAATCTTTTGATAGACTCTTCCAATATAGAAACATCCTTTAAAATTTCAGCCAAGTCGACGCGGAGAACGTTGTATGCTATTTTTGAAGCAGTTGGCCTACTTCCTTAAAAGAAGGAGAAATCTGCACAAGTTTCATCACAGGACTTTTTTTTTTTTTTTTTTGCAGCAATTCTGCATCTGCTGGGAAAATGGAATTTCACTGTGAGAGAGCTAGTAGATGCTGCCAGAACATAGGATTAGCCAGAGAGTTAAATACTTAATTATGGAAAGCCCTGCTCCCCTTCCATTCTGTTTCCAATTTCTCTGACGAGTTATCTCTCTCCCGCAGGCGCCTGGACGACGACAAGGGGCGGACCCACGAGCTGGAGCACTCGGCCGTCAAGTGCATGCGAGGGATCCTCTACTGCTACATGCGGCAGGCTGATAAGGTGGGCGCCCCCGGGATGACCTGACCCACACCGCCGGCTCGGTCGTGCTTCCCAAGGGCAGCCGCTTCCCCGGGCAGGGAGCGGGGTCTGTCGAGCCTTTGCCCCCCCAGCCCACGGCTTCAAAACACCAAGGCGGGAGGAGGGCCTTGGTGAGAGCGGACCGCGGACTGCGCATCAGGCTTTGGTTTGCTTGTGTTCTGCACCGGCTTTGGCTCAGCACACGCTCTGTTCCCCAGGAACCACGCGACACCCATAATTCTACCCGATGTTGCATCACTCGGGAACATTTTTATCAAAATTGCCTTTGGACGCGTGAATGCTCAGGCTAAAGGAAACTTTAAAAATATAACACTTTGTTACACGTAAAGAGGACAGGAATTGTGGACTTAGAAAGCAGAAAACCGCACAGGGTTATTGTGGCGGAAATGAATAAAACTTTGTAGGCCGTAGAGCACACGCAAACGTAATGAGCTGTTTCCCTACTGACCAGCCTGTCTGTGTGTCCCGGTCCTGACACAGTATGTCTGTGCATGTGTGTGTCACGTGTGCCCAGACCACCTTGCCCAGGGAGGCACACCAGTAATTCTGCTGGCCGTTTTGAGTATGTAGCATTTTATATGTTTTTATCATGTGACTATTATATTGTTTTAACTTATGCTTGGAAAGGGTAAAAAATATGGTGGCCCATTTGTTTTTTAAGACGTATGTTTGAAGTTAAAACTTAAAAAGAAACTCATTTATATCTTGCCACCAAAATACGGCAACAAGGAAATGTTACTGTGCAGAAGTGAATTTATTCGCAAGCCGATCATAGAGATGTGTGACAAGCCTGCAATGTGCCCACTGAGAGCTGACTTTGCAGATCATTATTATAAAGGTTTGTCGGTGCTTGGGATAAAGTACCATGTCATCCTGACGTACTCGAATAAGCTAGTGTGCCGCATATATGGAAGGAATCACGATTCCAGTTACTGTTTTGTGTATGGAGGGTGCTGTTTCATTGTTGACTTGACATCGTTTCAGGCGTGGCTGGTGTCTCTGCTTCCGACTTTTCCCTCAAGGCAACGCTGAGAGCCAGGAGTTTCACGGGTTTGGGACGCAAGCTGATAAATCTAAACTAGAATCTTTTATTGGAAGGACATGCTGTGATACAAAGTGTCGTCTTTGTGGCTTGTTTCAGTCAATTCTTGTCTTTCTAAATATCATTCAGCCTCAGTAACCAGTCTCCACAATTATGTTTTCTTTTGCATACAACTTGAATGGGACTTATGCTGTCTTGAACTCCTTAAATGATAAAGGATAAGTCTTTTTTCCTTGTATGTGCAATGGTAGGTCATGAAAATCAGGGAGTTGTAAGACGGTCTGGAGGCTTCAGGATTTGTGCACACCATGGAATGGAGGCTTAAATGTTTCATAGGTTTTCATTGTGACCCTTCATGACCCACACACCTGTCAGAGCAGGAACGGGGAGTAGTCCCCTAAGCCTCGTGTGCCGGCGAGGAGCTGGCTCAGGGAGACTGAGGCCCTTGCCCGGCGCCCGGCTGCCCACCGTGGCCTCGCCTCTTCCTGGGGCTCACCCCTCCTTCATGGCACCACAGGGTGGGGCATGCTACCATAGTTTAAAAGTGACGTGTGTATTTCTTGGCCTTTAAGACTGACAGAAGCCTGTTTGTCATGTCCATTTGCCCTTCACCTTAAGGCTCACCTCTGCCATCTGAAGTAAAACCGTGACTTAGGGACTTGCCTGGGGCTCTCTGTGTTCATCGACTCCCGTTGCGAGATGCGCTTGCCGGCACATTTTCTGAAATTGCTCCCTAAGAGAGAGATTTTTCACTTACTATGAATTTGGCTGCATAAGTAGAGTTGTCCTTGATTTGCAGAGTGTAGAGCCATCTGATTTCTGCCTGTGACCGTCACGCCACGTCTTAACGCGCACTGATTGGCGTCAGGGGTTTCACCTCTGAGCCTCCGCGAGCTCTGCTCTCACTTCCTCTTCCCGCACTTGCTGCGAAGGAGCGTCCGGACTTTTCAAAACGGGTTCAGTCTGCAGGTTGGAGGACACACATTGGCTTTCCAATGGGCTATGAATGTTGCTGCCTTTAGCTACTTAAACATTTTGTTTCCAGTGCTAAGTATTTTTAATTCATGAGAAAGCATTAAAATTTTATAAAGTTGATTCTTTCAGGACGGCCTCATGAGATAATTTTTCCTACCTCAGCGCCTGTTTTAAGGCCCTAAATGAAGAGTGGGCAATCCAGTCCTCCGTTACCTTTGCCTGAGTGGGAAGCTTTTTGTTGACCATGGTTCAAGTTTTCAGAAAAATTCAAATAAAATAGAGGCAGAGAAGACTATTCTGGGTTTTTTCCAGACCAGCAGATTTTGCTTCGATCCTTCCTTCTACTCTCTGGCGCGGCGCCTGCGGACGCCCCTCGCTCCTGACTGCTTTCGAGAGTGCGTGTTGTCTGTGATTCATGTGCAACAGTGTGCCCCGTTAAATCTCAAAGTTTATAGAGCCTGGGTTTTATTTCTTCTGAAATTTTAAATTATTTGTCTTTCCGCAGCTTTAAGGCTGAAAGCGGTCACGCAATTCCCACTGAGCATCTTGAATCGTTTAGTGTTGCTTTTCCCCTGACGCTGTGATTGACTATGAAGCCCCCTGCTGGGAGCTTGTGTGTCACGAAGACAAATGACAGACAGCGCCGTGACAGCTGCAGCCACCACGTCATTAAACTCACACAGCCCCATCCTTTGGTAGGCCCGTATCACAGAGGCAGAATGGATTTTGTGTTAATTTAACCGTATTTTTGTCTGAGCGCCCGGAACACTGCTCAGCACTTTGCGATGATAGCGCTGGCAGCGTGAAGGGGTGGCCGCGTTGATCTCCGCCTGCGCAGCCTGAGACGCTGCCGGCAGCGCGAGGTCCCGGGGCGGGGGACAGTCGTCGGCCTTTGCGGAGCTCGCCCCGCAGGCTTGCGGCCGTAGGGACAGAGGGCGGCGTCCCTGCCTCCGCCCTCGCCCTCTCACCCCTGATCGCCGCCCGCCCTTTGTTGACCTCAGCCGTGGGGGGTGGGGGGAGGCTCCGTTGGGGCAGGGCTCTTGGGGGAGCAAAGGTACCTTAGAAATGCTCTGTGTCTGACAAGACAGCAGCCGCTTGTCACATGTGGCCGTTGAGCACTTGAAATGTGACCGGCGTGACTGAGGGGCCAAATCTTCAAATTTTCTTTAACTGTAATTGAATTGGTCACATACAGCTAGTGGGTCCCCTATTAGATAGTGTAGGTTCCAGCAGCTTGTAAAAGGTGGTGGATCCAGGCAACTAATCAAAACCAGAGTGGAAACAATGGAGGGACCAGCACCCTGCTGAGGGGGCCGGCGGGAGCAGCGCACCTGGGGCCAGAGCGGCTTTGCGCGAGGAGACGGCTTTGGAGGCGGGGCCATGAGGACGGGGAGCACGGCGGTGGCGGTGGGGAGGGGCCCGTGGCTGCGCGCCGTCACGTCACGTCACGTCACGTCACCGCACCGCAGCGGAGCGCGGCCCGGCGCTGTCGCACTCCCGCCCTTTCAGAGACAGGAGGCCGCGCTGCCGCCTGCACACGGAATCGTGCCGCTCGGCTCGCTCTCGCTCCTGACTCTCCTGCCTCCGGGGCCCCTGCGCTTGGCGCACAGTTGGGACCAGCAAACGTCTGCCCTGTTGAACGGGGAGATGGGTTTTGTGGTCCTTGGGCCTGCGTTAGAGCATTTAGCATTTGGTCGTATTCTAAAATGGCTGAATGCTATGTCCGATGAGCAAGCAAAGGCACGGGCTACGAGCCCTGGGAACTGCTGCCCGCAACGAGCGTGCAGGCAGGAGGGCTGGCGCAGGCGCGCCGGTGGGAGCACAGGGCGCTCTTAGTGACCGCAGGGAGGAGGCGGCGGGAGGTTCCCGGCTCCGGCTGGCTTAGGCCGTGGCCTGGAGCCCTGCTCTCTGCATCATGGGAGCGCTACCGGTGCCGGGCGGGGGCGGGGGGCCGCCGGGGACCCTGCCCCACAGAGCGGAACCCTTATTCGACTCTGAGATAAGATGCAAAACATTGTGAAAGCCATTGTTGCCACGTCGATGCGCTCCCTGTCACACTCACGTTGCTGAGTTTGTGAAGTAACAGTTAAGTGTTCAATGGCCATGTTGATGCTTCTGAGTTAGTACGTACGAGCTCTGTCTGCTTAGTGTTTTTAGGAGAAGGTGACATTTCGGCTTTGTTCTGTCTACTCCTATGCTCTGCAGAACTTCCTTCATTCGAAAGGTTCCTGAGAAGTAACTTCATAATCTCCAATCCTGGGCGAGGAGGCGAATAACGAGCGTTATGTAATTTTGTGTTGGCCCCCAGGTCCAGCAGTTTAAGCAAGACCCGCGCCCGACCACGTGTCTGCACTCTGTCTTCCATGCGCGCACGGGCGACGAGGTGCTGTCCTATGAGGAGTACGGCCACCTGCAGGTATGCGGGGATCACAGGGGTCCTCTTGAGTGCCCCCCACGGCGATTTACAAGGTTTACAAAGTAGATGTCACAGACTTTTCCAAAGAGAAGTGGGAAGCCAACCGTGAGGCAGGGAATGAAACGCTCGCCTCCTGGGCTGAGTTCATGATCGTGGCCGACGGTCAAACCTGGCTGGCTCCCCGGCCCAAGGGCTGCGTGAGGGCTGTCCAGTAGGGCCCGCGGGGACAGAGGCGCGCGCTCGCTGTCACTTGGGGAGGGCCCCGGTGCTCAGGAGCAGGGGGCGGAAGACCAGCGGCTGTGCTGTCGCGGCCGCTCAGGAGCTCCTGTCCCCGGCGGTTCGTTTTCACGGGCCTGTGTTCAGTAAAGCGGGAAACACATTGCTGGAATGGGAGCCCGGAAGGCACCCTGAGTCTGTACGTTTTGTCATTTCATATATTAAATTTTATGCCTGTGCTAAGAAGGCACTGTAGGGCTTTGGGCTTGGCTTTTGCTTTTTTCTCTCACATTTGCACAGCTCTCAAGTGGGCGCCGTGTGACCTTGTTTCTGGGACACAGGAACTGAACAGGCGCTCATCATCCACGGCAGTTCTTCCTGCTCGCTTTGTTCTGCGACCCTCGGGACAGAATTCCCATTAGTCGTTATTTCTTACTAAAATACGACTCTCTTCTTTTTATAGTTCCTCTCTTCCTAGTGACCAGGAATGCCTTACTTTAGTATGACTCTTCCAAACACAGTGCGGTGCCCCCATTTTGATAGAGAAGCTCTTACACTTATTTGAAACTGATACACGGATATGTCGTTCCTCAACCTTCTCTCTGTAATTATCATGTAATTAGGTTTTATGCACCTTTGGCTTTGACAGGCATGTTTACTACCCGAAATAGGGTTTTCACAAGTTAGTGACACATTTATTTTTGTGTCCCAGAACGTAAGCTCAGAGCCAGCCACACAGCAGGTGTTCAGTAAAGGCTGCTCACCCAGCTACTGGGCAGGCCCTTTGCAGTGTGCCATTCACTGGTAGTTTCCCCCCAGAAGTCGGAGCCAAGAGCTCCTGGAGGTGCGGCCCCGAACGGCGGCCTGCAGGACAGCAACCTCTCTGAGGCCGTCCCTGACCGGCCGGTGTCAGCGCCATCTGGGAACAGGGGCGCCTGGTGGCAGGGGAGGCCCTTCTCCGCCACGTTCAGCGAAAGGGCACCCAGAAGTTCATGTCGTTCTAAAGCACCTAAAACCAGAATCTCGTGCCCCCTGTGTGGCCTGTTGGATCTGGAGGAGCCTCTGCCACCTGCTGGGCTTTGGGGGCCATGGGGCCAGGAGCCCCCGGGGGCGCCCCGGGTGCAGGAGAGCCCCGGCGCGGCTGCGGCCGGCCCCATTTCTGCGCACCTGCCTGCCCTGTACGTCCCATTTAAATGGACCCCCACGGTGGGTGGGCGTCTCAGCGGCTGCTTCCACTGCCTGCGGTGTTGTCAAGGTTCGTGCGTGTCCCAGTGTTTGTCTTTCACTGTGTGTTGGCTGGAAATAACTTAGTCCATTCAGGGTTCGGTGAGAATCTTCTTTTGAATATTATTGTCTTCATTTTTTTTTTGTTTAGATCATATAATGTCCATCTTTCATAGACTAATAAACTAAAAGGAGAAAACCCATTTGCTTTAAAACTCATTTGTCCATAGATGGACTTTAAATCCTGTGCCGTGTACCATTCATTAGAATTAGCACGCGCCTGCCGTTGCGCTCGTGCCCCTCACGGTCGGAGGAGAAGGCCGCCTCCGCGACGCCTGCGGTCTGTGGCGCGGCTGGGTCCCTGTGTCCTGCTGGACACCGCTGACCTGGTGCGGCCGCCTCGGGGGCAGGACCAACCAGGGCGGGGGAGTTTTAGCCCCGAGTCCAAAAATAGGTCTTTGAAAAAAATTGCCATGGAGACACCTGCCCAAAGCCCCGCCGCAGGAGCGTGGCCTCCCCTGATGTCAGGTGCCGCCCGTCCCGGGACCCGCAGGACCGGGGAGCCTCACGCCCGAAGCTGGGGCTTCGTTAGGGACCCAGCCTGCAGCCCCTGTGTCGCACCGCAGGAAGGGGACTGGTGTTTACAGGCCAGGGTGGGGGCAAACGATGTGTAACTTTCCTTTGGCATTTAAGTTTGTAACGGAGTAGGTGTGTTTGTGCCCTTTAACCTCGGCCCGGCTGCTCGTTCCCAGATCAACGCCGTGTCCCTATACCTGCTCTACCTGGTGGAGATGACGTCCTCCGGCCTGCAGATCGTCTACAACACGGACGAGGTGGGCACCCCCCCGCAACCGCCTGTGCTCTGCAGCCTCCCACCCCCGGCGCCGGTGCTGCTCTTCCCCTTTGAACACTTCCTTTCGGTTTCATTTAAAAAATGGGCTGTTCTTCAATTCCTATAATCAGATACTGGATTTGGGATATTGGAGCACAAAGTCTTTAGGTTTTCCAATGCCAAGCACTTTGAAAATGAACAAATAGATAGCAAATTATAAAACTGTCCTCCTAGCCGGGCTCTGTTCAAGGTGATCTGAAATGACTGACTTTCAGAAAATTATAGTAGCAATGAAAGTAAAATAGCATCTGCGGATTTTCTGTTCTAATGCTCTTTCCCCATCATTCCTATTTGTATTTTGAAAGTGGAAAGATACTTTCATCACACTGTATTTTTTTATTTGCGGGGCCTCTCAGTAGGGCTCCCGAGTCTTTGCTGCGATCGATACTGTGTTCTCCTCCTAGTGGGGAATCTGGACTGAGTCTCCCTGACTCGCAGAGTATTTCTGCGCCTGGCGGCAGCTCCTGAACACACACAGGCGCCCTGCCCACTCGCCTCGCGCCGCGCCCCTGCGGAGCGCAGTCCCCACAGGGGAGGTGCGCTGGCTGCACTTCCTGTCCCGGGACACAGCCAGGGACAGTGCGGTCACATGCCCACTGCCAGGGTCGTCGGCAGGCCGCAGGCCCTCCGGCTGTGTCTTGTGATCGCAGCAGGTAAAGCCCGCTTAGGAAGGGGGAAGTAACACAGGAGAAATGACGACGTGGAGAGATCAGTAATGACCACTGAGGCTTCTTCTGTTTGATTCCCCGAAGAAGCGACTTGTTTTCATTTCATCCAGGTTCTCAGTTTTAGTAATATTGCCCAATATTGTTATCTGAATATTTTGGGGTGGGGAGGGGTGGGGCACCCCTATTTCAGACCAGCCTTAAGCAGCCTCCTAAATAGAAGGCAGATGAAAGAAGTGTGACTCACTGGGGGGTGAGGGCCCCCCGAACAGCCCATTTAGATGTTCGGGTCTTCCCCCAGAGGCCCCGCCCCCGCCCCGGCAGGGGGGGCGCGGTCGGGTGGTAGGGCGGTCGAGCCCCGAGCGCTGGGAGGACCCTTTGCAGGAAGTAGCAGCTTTGTGACCAGTGCACGTGGCCTCCCGGCACCGCTGCCCTCATTGACCGTGGCTTTGTTTTGTTTGGTATTTTATTTTGATGTTCAACTTTTAATACTTATTTTTTGCTTTCTCAATATAGCTCATTTTAAATCTTCATTCGCCAACTGATGTTTTTTGTAACTATGATATGCTTCAAACGTTGCTGTTTTATATGGCTTAGCTACACTGAAGCAGTTTTGGTATTTTTATATACACTTTTTATGTAGCCAGTACCAGAAAGCCGCCCCCACGCACACTTAAAATCCTGGAACAATGAAACACGGCGGGGGGTGGGGGGCGGGGCGGGGGACGCAGGCTGCGCAGCTGCTCCTGCCTTGGGACTCGGGGGCCCGCAGGGGCCAAGTCAGGGGCTTCCCAGGGACGAAGTGCCTTTTGACATAGGATCTTTTCCTCTCGGACACCACAGCCTTGAACCGTCCCACCAACCCGTGGGTGGAGGGCTGAGGTAGAGGGCACTTGCGTCCACATGCAGCGGCCCCGTGTGGCGCCCTGACCCAGGCGATGGCTCAGGTGAGCCCGCAGCCCCGCCCTGCAGCCTGCGCCAGACAGCGCCTTTGTTAAAGCAACACGCTCGCCCTGAGGAAGCACTAATCCTGATCTTTGCTTTCACCGTCGCTTCTGTCAGTGTGAATTGCATTGAGCCTCTAAAGTGTCCCCTGGAAGCCCCGCGGCTCCTGGCCTGCTGTCTGCAGCAGCCGCCGCCCGCCAGCTCAGAGCTCCTGAGAACGGTGGCTGCTGCCCCTCGAAGGCTGGAGGGGGGTTAGATTCCCGGCGTGGTAGAGGCAGGACCCCCGGCGGACCCAGCGCGGGCTGGCTCGCTGCAGGAGTGAGAAATGCCTTTTTATTGCCCAAGTTTTAGCCTTACTTCACATTTCATGTGGACATTTTAGATTCCAAATATCCACCGTCCAGCAGTGCTTTGTATTTTTCTTAATTTTTGAGACGCGGCCCTCAGGTAAGAGACACGTCCTTGGAGAATCTTGGCGGCCACATCCAAAAGGTTTCAAGCCCATTTCTAGGTAGTGTGACGGTAGGGCCTCACGTCAGGCTTCGTGTGGGGACAGCCCGGCGGGACACGGTGCTCGCAGGGACGCCATCCACATGGGGGTCTCAGCACGTTGCAAAGGGGCTCGTAGGCAAGTCTGCGCTTGGGTTTCAAATGGCGTCTCATTGTGCTGGTCACTCTCTAAACATGTGTTACTCACGTGCCCTTGTGTTTCACTGCTTTCTTTCAGGTCTCTTTTATCCAGAACCTGGTATTTTGTGTTGAAAGAGTTTACCGAGTGCCTGACTTTGGTGTCTGGGAAAGAGGAAGCAAGTACAACAATGGCAGCACAGAGCTGCACTCGAGGTAATTCGCTGATTTCTGAGTTTTTTAAAAAATTTAAATGTGTGAATTTGAATATGAATAAAAATCAGAGTATCAGATTGGTGCTGCCGTTTCCATGTTAATTTCCATCTCTTAAAATTAAAGGGAAGCAGCCGGCTCAGTGTGGGGCCCTGTGCAGATGCAGGAGCGGGAGGGCGGGGGTGGGGAGCAGGTGTCTGTCCCGGCCTCCCAGCGTCAGAGCCGCCTCGCCCCCCCCCCCGCCCCCGCCCACGCAGGACTGGCCCTTCTGCCCAGCTGGGCTGTGCCCGCTCTGCCTGCGCAGGAGCCTCGGCAAGGCCGCGTCCACCGCAGCTCCGGGCGCGGGGCTGGCTGCTGTGCCCGGAGGTGCTCCCACCTTCACGCTCAACTTGACTCGCCTTGTTTCCCGGAAGCGGGCAGCCAGCCTCCTGCGCTGGGGTTCAGTGGGTCTGAATGCAGGGCAGTGGCGGAGGGTGGACGGTCCTCAGTGACGGGGCCCCTTCCCCCTTGGGGTGCAGAGAGGGCGTGAGTGCCTCCCTGCTCCTTTCAGGCGTTCTCAGCCGGCGCCGGGAGGGCCTCTAACTAAAAAGTGTAGCCTAGCGAGTCCTGTCCGCTGCACACTGAACGGTTTAGGAATTTAAAGGCCCTGAGCTGTAGGTCAGCGTAGACCATTGAGACTTCAATGGAGTAAAAGACAGGTTAGGAAGCACCCATGAAGAGGAAGCTGCCGCTCTGCACTTTTTTGACTAGAAGGACCAATCACAGAAAAAATTAAGCTGATGTAAGATATTTAGTGAACACGGAACGGCTCCAGCTCACCCGCTGTGTAAGGTCTCTAATGCCCCAGTGTCCTCGTCTGCAAAGTGAAGTGGACAGTGGTTTCTACTTCATACAGTGGTTGCAGTGATCTCATTAACCCACCTGTGTGTTAACGTGTGTGTATGTATTTATATATATGCAGCACTTGAACACTTGGCATAACTAAGCCCTGGAACGCAGCGCACGCACACACTTCAGGTGTGTTAATAACAAAGCCTGAAACAAAAAGGACCCGATTACTGCCAGTTAACTAACATAAAAACACTCTTCTGTAAGTTTTGTGACTCACATGGGGCATTTCTACACGATGGAGCAGAACAGTAGCAATCGCTGAAGGAGGCCGTGAAGCAGAGAAATAATTTAGAGGAAAGTTCAGTTCGGACATTAAATAAATTCTCGCAAATAAAAAAGAAATAGGGAGATAATGTTAGATTTTAGCCGTGAGGTTCTCAACACTCCAGAATATCAGTCATATTACAAGAGAAAAGGTGGACTTGACTAGACAAGGTGACTGTGAAAAGCGGGCCTTCTACCCGGCCCCGCTCTGCCCTTCAGACACCGTTGAGGCTGTGCCCGCGCGAGGGCACTGGCGGCGCTGCCGGTGGGAACGGCTGCAGGAGGGCGTTTCGTTGGTGGAAACTGTAGTGCAGTACGTCCTCCCTCAACGTCGGCCGCGGCTTCTCGGAAACAGACCCCAAGGATGGGGGTGCCCTGCCTCGCCCGTGGCGCCCTCGGCCCCTTGGTCTGAACGGGAGGTGAGTTCCTGTGGCGTGTTTCTGGTCCCGGACATGCCACCGAACTCCTAAGTAAGGACCCCAAGCACGTCTAATGTTAAAACATTAAATGTGAGCTGTACATACATTTAAAACAGACTTAAAAAAATAAGTCAGAGAAGCACCTTCCAGCCTGCTTGCTTTATTCCGGGGCGCAAGGCGGCCCCCGCCCCAGACAGGGCGCCCTCCGCTGCAGGGCGGGCACGCGCGCCTACGCCCCAGCCTGGGACAGCGTGGACGTGCCGGGCGCCAGCGTGCACACCTGCAGGGTGTGGGAGGGGCTGGGGTGCGCGCACGTAGGGAGATGTGCAAGCGCCCGTTGCCGCTGGGGACCGAGGTTTCTTCCTCCGCAGTGTTGTGTTGCAGCAGCATCGAATGAAGTGATGCTATTCGAGGACCTCCTGTCAACTCAGCGAGAACCTTGGGTAAAAGTTGCCATTAACGCTAGAAAATGAGGGCGTGGGAAGGTCCCTAGTGAAAAACAACAGAGGCTGCAGGTTGTTTTCCCGTGAGCCAGGCGCCAGCCCTGACACCGACGCATGAAGGTTTCATTTCAAGGCCTGGGAGGGCATCCTGGGATGTTCTTCGCAACCCTTTGCATGCACAATCAGTCTTAGTTTTAGCAAGCAATTCAGTGCACATGGATGGGAAATGAAGTTTGTCATTTCGATTTGAATGATGGGTTTTATCCGTTTAACATTTTTCTTCTGATTTTCCATAGTAAAACAATTTTCGATTCCCCAAAATAACTTTTAAACGTATTTTCTGAAATGTTTCAAGCCCAGCTCTCCACGGCGCGTTTTGGATGTGTCACTTGGGTGCCCGGAGGCGAAGGGGTCAGGGAAGCAGAGAAATAATCTGGAAGAAAGTTCAGTTCGGTGTGAAGGTGCAGGAGGAGCTGGCACCCCTGGGTGCAGTGACGGGGGCGGGGGTCCTGGGTGCTGGATGGAGAGCCACCACCAGCTAGAGATTAAGTCACAACTCTTAGTCCGAGGACTGTCCTTACGCTGCGCCCTCCATCTCACACGCCCTGAAACCGCGCGCCAGTTCCGGCTCCAAGGGCGCCGCGGGCTCCTGTGCCCTCCACCCGGCGTGTGCGCGCTGCTCAGTCCGTAGCGGGCGCTCCAGGGGGAGCAGAGCGGGTCTGACCCTCACCTTGGTGTGCTCAGGGATGCGGCCAGCGTGGCTGGCGTGGTCAGCGTCCCTTTCCCTGTCCCCCGGGCCCATTCCCCCGCAGCTGCACTCTGACCGAAGAAGCAAGCCGCGCTGGGGCCCCCGAACTTCGCAGCGTTCTGAAGCCAGGGGCCAGCTCTTCCGCAGCCGCGCTCAGAGGCCCTCTGACTGCAGTGTGTGGCCCACCCGGCCAGCCCTGTGCAGTGGTTTCTGCTGTGACGGGTGCCTGGTGTCCTGAGGTTTTCCCAAGCGGACCCGCTGGGCCCCTTGCGCTGAGGAGAGCGTCCCCCTGGGCAGCGTGCCCAGCCCTGCCTGCCTGGCTCAGCCCCTGGCCCTGCCCACCTGCCCCTGCTCCAGCCCCAGGCGCCTGTTTCCCTCCAGTTCAAGTTCCTGAATTATGGGGTATTTCTTAGTTAAACTCAGAGCCTTTTCCCTGAAAGGCGACCTCGTTGCACCTCGCTGAACCCCGTTCTAGCAGCAGCCTCGCCCTGGCCAGGGCTCCTGTACCCGGGTGTGCTCGGCGTGCCCTGATCTTCTTAAAACATTTCTCTAACAGCTGTTCTCTGCTCCCCTGGCTTCCTGGTTGGCTAAAATTTATTTGATTAGTTACATTGCCTCCCTGTATCTCATTTTGGTACCTATTTATTGTTACAGTAGTGCTTAACCCCCAGAATTACAGATCCAAGTGATCTCAGCTGCTCCAAGAGGGATTTCAGTATTTTAATCTTTATATTTCCCTCACGTAACTAATATAAGGGAACTGCTGTTCCTTAGGGCTCCCTTTAAACCCAGGCTCTTTGTTCTGGAAAAGAGGTGAGTCTTCTGTAAAATGTGAGTTGAATTCCAAACCTAACTTTGAAGTTTTTGGCTGTTGGGAAGCAAATAGGAAAATGGTACTTAATGCACTAATAATGGGGATGTGCCCAACTGGAAGGAAACATTTCTGAAATATGACCTGCTAAACAGAACTTTACATTTAACAGCATAATTTCACATTTTATTATGTGAAGTCTTGTGTTTGCAACATAAACACTGTAGACGCAAAGAGAGTTTAAACCTGATTTTTCAAGGTTTATTTTTTTTAAATGGCTGTCTGTTCTATTCTCTTGGCTTTTGCAATACGAAGAGCCGTCACGAACCTATCAGCTGAGTAAGCAGCGCCGCACCACCTCACCGGCGGAGGGTGCTTTCAGTGGCCGCTGCATTCCGTCCAGGGCCTGTTGTTAGGAACTGCCTAGCCTTCAGCCCGTTTTGCTGTCCGGTCTTTGAGCTACGACAGAAGCAGCCGTCTCTTCCGCCTCCTTGTGTGTGTGTGTGCCACACCGAACAGTCCGTAGCGCCCGTTACAGCCGCAGTTCTCCGAAGCCCTCCTTCTTGGAGCAAGCGGAGGGGGTAGCTCAGGGAGTGAAGGCGGAGCGTTAATAAGCAGGAGACTGTGAATTTAGTTCCCACGTTTGCCAGTTAATTTTGGGATTTCACGGTGGGTTTGTAAATCACCTGGTTGAAAAGTGCTGATTTATACAACAAGCCGCTTTATTACAAACTCTCTCCCAAGCAAGCGCCATCTCACTTTAGATTCAGCCCATCTAAATGAGCGGTGATGGGACACTTGGCAAAAATCAAAGTGGCAAATGTTCTGTTGGTAACAGTCACTTAATGTACATGTACATTCGATACCTAGGAATAGAATAATTTTAAAGGAAGTCTTGTGCTAGTAAACATTTTTAATTCGAACGTTACATGTTTTATTTCCCAGTAAAAAAAAAACAACACAACACCACTCAGGAATGAGTTTCATTTTTTAAATAGCTTGCTTTTGCCAGAGATTTAAATACACAGTGGGTAATTAACATATTCGTACATTTTAATCTGGTCCAATTATTGACCAGGTTGCACTGGGGAAGAAGATTAAGTGGGAAGAATTTAACATTTGTGCCAGTCCAGGAACAGCGTCTGCTTCCTTCGTGGTGCTTTCAGTAGGAGACAGTCTCCGCACCGGCCCTGAGCTGTCTTTCTGCGCCACTGTTGGAGTCAGAACCTGGGGCCGCTACGTTGTGTGCCTCCTCCAGGACAGCGCTTCTGAAGCCCTTATTCACGGCCCTAAGAACACTGCGCCTGCGCGGAGGCTGTGCACTGTTGCTCGGCTCAGTGCACGCAGAGGTTGCGCGTTGGGGGCTCACAGGGACTCCCAGGGCTCGGGAGCACGTTCTTCAGCAAGAGGAGTCGGCAGGCAAAGCTGGGGCCTGCCAGCCCCAGCCGGCTGGCGTTCCTGGGCGGGTGCTGTTTGCCGTTCGCTGGCACGCGCGAGGCAGATCGCGAGGATAGAGCTGGGGACCCCACGGAGGTTCCTCTGGTTCCCGGTGGTTGCACATGGGCCACCCCAAATGCAACAACACCTCTTAGTGTCAGTTCTCACAGGGCTGCGGTGTGACTGGGCAGAGCCAGCTGGTTGGGTGTTAGGGTCTCTCATGCGCTGGCCCTCTGCTGGGAATGGGGCTGGGGCTGGGGTCCCCTGGAAGGCTCCCCTCTCAGGTAGGGCTGGCTGATGGGCACCTTGGCCGGAGCTCTCTGCCCAAAGACCGGCGTTGAGTTTCTCCAAACAGGCCACTGACAGCGCGCAGGCGGTTCTGGGCTGGCCCCCCGTGGGCCGCGCTGCCTTTGGGACTGGGCTTGGAGGGCGCACGGCGGTACTTCCAGCGCGTCCCCGTTGTCAGCATCGGCGAGCCCAGGCTACGTTCCGTCGGGGAGGTTCTCAGGAAACGCTTGACAACTCTCGTGCGACAGATTGGAGCCTTCCTGGGCTCTGCGGAGCAGCTCGGGCTCGTTCAGTGGTTTCCCCTGCAGGTCAAGCGCGCTCTCTGGCTCCTTCCAAGGAGTTGTGTGTCTTTGGTTTTTAGGAGCTCTGATGTGTCCTGGCATAGATATTTTTTATCGTTTCTCTTTGGGTTTCATCGACCTGCTTTTTGCATGTTGCTGGTTGGGAAGTTTTCGGCCAATATTTCAAGTCCTTTTTTTTCAGCCTTGCCCTTTTTCTTCCCTCCTGCAAGGAGTGCAGTGACATGAATGGTCGAGCCCCCGAGGAGCCTTTGTTACGTTTTTTTCTAGTCTGTTTCTCTCTTTTGTTTGGGTGGGATAATTTCTATGCGTTTATCTTCCAATTCCGTGGCCCTTTCTTCTCTTTCCTCCCTCCTGCCATTGATGCCGTCCGCTGAGCTTTTCATCTTGATTACCGTATTTTTCCCTTGTGAAAACTTTGCTGACACGTGCCGTTTCTGAGCTGAGGCCGGCTGCCTTTCCATTTTCCCTGTCATGTTCATCATTGCTCATTGAAGCGTTTTTCTCATGGCTGCTTTCAAGTCTTCGTCAGATAATTCTAGCATCACGTGCATCTCCACGTTCACATCCGTTGATTGTCCTTTATTCTCCAGCTTGAGGTATTTTTGGACCGAGATTTGATGAGTGATGCTTTTTTGGAGACGGGGACATTTTGGGTGCATCATAACACCATGGCACGATGTGACTTTAATTTTCTGCTCTAGCCGTATTTTTCGGACACCGCTCTGGCGGGGGCCGGGAGTGGCGGGGGCGTCACCTCCTTGCTGCCAGGGGGAACGGAAGGCCAGGCTGTTTGTTGACACCCTAGATGAAGACTCCTCACTACGTGGGGTCTGGGTGGGGGCCCTCGCTCCCCCGTCGGCCTCCACCAACGCCTCCCTGGCCGGGGAGGGTAGGGGCGCCTTGCTGCTGCTTCCCAGACGGCCCCACGCACACGACGGGCAGGGCGCGGCCCCCTGGTGTTCCCCGGCTGTTGCTTCCTCAGCTCCGGTCTGACGCCTGCAAGCAGAAGGGAAACCGGGCAGCTTGGCCCGGGGTTCTTCCTTCACCCCTGAGGGCCCTTCTTCCTGAGCCTCCACATCGCCGTCTGTGGCCCTTCGTGGCCCTGAGTGAGGGGAATAGGGAAAGTTGTCGACCCCACTGGTATTTTCAGTTCCCATCTGTTTTCTATCCTGTAATGCAAATAATGCTTCCTGGAGAACATCTCTGGGAAACACCTGTAGAAAAGGTAGGTCACGGAGACGTGAATAGCTTAGGACAGTGGCCCTCAAGTGTCAAGTGCGTTCAAGTGCCCGGAGGGCTTTTTTGTGCTGATTGCTGGACCTCACTGCAGGGAGGGGGGCGCCTGGCTGTTCTCCCGGGCTCCTGGGAGACCCTGCTCCCCTGGGGACCCTGCTTCGTGAGTCACAGCGCCTTGGAGACACGCTGGAGTGACGGCCGATCATTCATTTTAAATGATGTTAATGGCATATGTGGTTGCTTTCAGAAAAACATTGCAATAACTATAATAAACCGGCTTTTAGGTCTCAAGGACTTAAAGGTTGATATTTATAAGATGACTGTCATATTTTTAGTGAAATTTGGGTCCTCCCATCCTCAGCACCGTTGGCTGCGGCATTTGAGAGTCCAGAGGAGCAACCCGTTCTGTTACAAAGAGAATGTAGCTGGAAAAAAAAAAAAAGGAGGTATAGTGGTCCCTTATCCTGTGAACGTAAAACAACACCTACTTCATTAGTCCCGAACCAAAGAGTGTTTGAATGGGGAGCTCAAACCGCGCTCCGTGGTAAATGTATGGCCTGCGAGGTGGTTTTGAAGGCTCAGTGTTGACGGCAGGACGGCTCTGTGTTGAGGATCTGAGCTGATGGTGCCGCCCTAGGTCCAGCCACGCAGGCGTCGCTGGGACGCGCCCACCTCTGCAGTTCACCCGCCTCCCGACGTAGTGACTGTAAATGACACCAGACTGAAAACGGCCCCCATCAGGAGGGTCACCGTTTGTCTAGATCAAGGTGAACTGAGAGAGATTTTCCCCCACAGATCACTACCTATAAAAAAGAAAAATTAAAACAGTGACCTGTCAGACTGAAATCCCTTAGTCATCCTTCTTCTTACGGAAGTTGTTGGTTAGTGTTCGTGGAGAAACTTGCTTGTGACTGTTCATCAGATAATGGTTCTCATTTTGTGGCCAGATATGTCCGATTTGTAAAGTATTTCCTTTTCTCTTTCAGCTCCGTCGGCTTAGCCAAAGCAGCTCTGGAAGCAATTAATGGATTCAACCTCTTCGGCAACCAGGTAAAAAAAAACAGCAGCAGCAACAACAAACTGATTATTTTTTTAATTATGTGTTTAATTAACCTGGCCGTTCATTAGGCAACTCATTCGTTACAACCAGGAAGTGTCTGAAATTTCTGTAGCAGCTCATGGTTGAACAAGCGTCCCTTTGAATATGATTTGCCAGTTAAGTTTTCGTTTTCTATTAAAAAACATTGCTTAATTAAGAAACTCTTTTGGTAAAGAATTCTCATTATCTTTGTTCACTTCCTTTTCCCTCGGGCATCCCTGTTGGGCTCCCCCATCAAGTGCTCCCACGTGCGTCCTCATGTCGGTTTCGATGCAGCGTGTGTCGGCGTGCAGCCCGTGTGGGGGGCCCCGGTGTGCCGTGTACCGAGGTGGAAGTTTTGATCCCGGCTGGCTCTGATCACATGTCTACATCCCATTCCCTTTGGAGTAAACGGGAGACCGCGGGGGCTGCCTCCCGTTTTCATAAGGCCTTTACCCGGCGTCCGCTTGAGATCCGGTGGAGGGGGTGCCGTGTGAAGAGCACCGGGTCCTCCTAGGGATCAGGAAGTGGGCGAATTTTCTTCCGCAGTTTTTATGAAGGTCTCTCCGGTGGAAGGACAAAGGAGGTTCCAGCGATGTTAAAATCAACCCTAAGCTCTTAAAACAGGAAGCCAGTAAAGCCGCTTTCAAGGAAGCTATGCAGACACGCGGACTGTGATGGGTTTTGTCGTGGCAGCTGTCGTACTGTGTGCCTCCCGCGTGACTCGGAGGTTTCAGGAAGGAGGATGGCAGCGCGTGACTGCCCTGGTGCCGGCTCCCCTCTCCTCGCCCCGCTTCCCCTGGAGGAGGGCTCTGGTCATGCCCAGAACCTGGGGAGGGAAGAGACACCCCCAATGAAGGGCTGGGAAGGGGGCGCTGTACCTCATTCTGGGCGCTCATGTGGCGACCCTCAATCACCCACGCTTTTCTCCAAGCCCTCGGCTGGGGAAGTGGAATGTCGGAGCTCTGGGGGCGGGGGAGCCCACCGCGGCCCGAGCGCTAGCACAGGGCCTCCCCCAGCGGTGCCTGTGCCTCCGGCAGGAACCCCTGGCCCCGCAGCCTGTCTCTCTTCCTGAAGAGTCTGAGGCTCGTAGATTACACGTGTCTTCCGATACCTTTTACTTCCTCCCCCACCCTCCGATATATTCATTTAAATGTGTGTGCACGCACGTGTGTAAGACAGAGAAGCCGGAGGGCAGGGAGGAAGGAAGGAAGGAGTAGGAGGGCCATGTGGCATGAACAATGGTAGCCGTGTGTACAACAGCCAAGGAGGACGGGGACAGCCCAGGTGTCCTTTGATGGATGAACGGATAAAGGACGCATGGTGCCTGTGCACAGCAGCGTACAGTTCAGCCATAGAAAAGAATGAAATCGACATCCGTGACAATGTGTGTATATGGGGAGGGTGTTACGGTGAATGAGGTAAATCAGACAGGGGAGAAAGACAAAAACTATATGGTCTCACTGTGTGGAATGTAAATAAAACAAAAGACAAAAGCCCCAAGGTCGTGGAGACAGAGCGCTGATGGGTGGGTGCCTGAGGTGGGGGGCGGGCACAATGGGTGAGGCGGGTCCAAGGTACAAACCTCCGGGCATAAAGGCAGCAAGGCCTGGGGACGTGATGTAACTAGGGTGCTCGCGGGAGCGCGGTCACAGAAGCTGGGTTTGGGAGTCGAGTCTGAGCTGCCAGTCTTAAAAGAGGCTCCGTAGATGGAGTCGGGGCGTTCAGGCAGAGCCGTGATGATTTCAGCAAATGGAAGGTGAAATAAGGTGAAATAAAGTGTCCAAGGCTAATCAGATATTCTGGACGACATGTACTTACAAAAAACATTTTTTCGCATTCCCGTCCTGAATCGGAGAGGTCTCGACCTGAGAGGTGGCGGGAGAGACAGGGCTCGCATCCTGCTGAGCGTTGGAGCGTTCGCCGCGCTGCAGACATCGCTGAACGTTCCCCTGTGACGTGCGCGGGCCTGAAATCAGTGCGTCTGATCGTTTGAAGTAGGCGATAACTAATTCCATATGTACGTTCTCCCTGACAGTTTTAAAAAAATTTGCTCCTGAACACACGTAGCTGCCTTTGGCCCTGCGCCCTTCTGTTCTCCTGTAAATCTGGGCCACGTGCCTAAGGCAGGGTCTGTTTTTTGAGAGGACAGCAAATAATAAAGTTAACTGGCCTTTGACTTCCGTGTTAAAATGTGATCATATGAGATTATTTTTCCTCTTACACATATTTCTTAGAGGCCGACCCAGGAAGAGAGTTGAACAAATAAGCCACTTATTTTTGGCTAGAAAACACAAGTTGGCTGTTCATATTAATAAATAACAGCAAGAATTGCCAAAAATGCCATTTTACTTCATTATTTATAAATTATCCTATTTAGACTGTGTCTATAAAAATTCAACCCAAGGCAGACTGACACGGCATGTAATTAACTTTATTAATTATCAGCCTAAGAATAAATGAGTCAGTCCCATTATTTTGTGTATTCATGGACCCCCAACACCTTACACCCACCCACCCACTTCTCTGCTGTTTTGTTCTAGTCCCCCTAGGTGCCCCCCTTTTCCCCCAAATTCAGGTCCTAGCTGTGCTCCTCACCTTTTCCACGAAGAACCCCAAGTTCCCTATTTTATTTTTCTCCTGCCACCCTCCGAGGTCCCCTGGCATCCCCCTCCTCTCAGCGGAGCCTCTCAGCTGGCACCTTGTCATGCGTTGCCAGGGGCGGCCTTCCCGTTTCGGTGCTCGCCTGGTGCAGGACTGTGTGTGTGTGTGTATGACCCGGGTCAGCCCCTTGGAGCAGAGGTCAGGTTCTTCTGTCTTGTTTTCCGGAAAGCAGAGAGCACAGCTCAGTTCCACTTAGTTTGGGGGGAGAGAGAAGTAGGCAAGGATGGTTGAGCATCAGTCTGGTTGTTGAAAGACAGCCTCTCAGTGCTTGTCAATGGACTGGCTTGTCAGAGTTAAAAGAGATGTAAGAAATGATAGGAAGAATGAAAGTCATTCATATTTTATGAGGGGGTACTCATGGCTGGACACGGGCTAACGGGAAAAATGCGCATATATTCGGTCTGATACATGGACCCAGGCCGTATATGGATATGTGGAGCTACTGCCTGTTGCATTTCAGTCTAGGCGATGGATTGATGCGAGGTATTTTAGTTCAGGGTGAGAAGTGGGATGAGATTTATTTTCCCTGACAGTGCGCCTCTTCCTTTCCCGTGCAGCTCTCTGGGGTTCTCTGCGATGCCAGCAGCCTGTGTGTGCCTGGTTCATTCTCTTTGATGTTCGGAAATATTTAGCTCCCCATTTACAGGACACCGTGTTTACTTATGACTCTGCTCTTGCATATGGAAATCACTAATAATGGATAAATAGTGAATTTTTTTTTGACTTGGTGAAACTTGGTTAGCCACCAACGAACATTTCTTTGTTCCAGTTTTTGGTTCTTACTTGAGAGGTGATCTTTAGTATGGGAAGCCATGTAACTTAGAGACTGGATTTTGAACCCTTGCTGTATTAAACGAAGACTTAGCACCCTTTTTTGGTAACATAGAAACAATACTATCTGCATTTGGGGACCAAGCGAGGCAGCCCATGGGGAGCATGGCCAGGGCCTGGCTCCTGTGCATCCTGGCTGGTGTTATTTACAGTATTATTATTTGAGGTTCTCCTGTACTCATATTTTAATCAAGTAGTATTTATACCTGTAATACTAGATTGTATCTAAATTTGTTTAGTTTGATCATATAATCAACATTCTCTACTAGGGCTATACAGTGAGCTTTTATGAATCTGTATTAGTTTTTGCATTATTCCTGGTCAAAAATGTTAACTAAACTAATATTTGTAATTTTATTAAATACCTGTAATTGATTAGATATCTTATAATCAATACAGTTGGATTTATAAGAAACTAAGCGGAAATGGGGAAAACAGAAAAATAACATTTATTTGTGATTATAAAAATAAAGTTTATAGTGAGACATTTGAGAAATACTGAACGTATTAAAAAGAATATTAAAATCTCCTGTGTCGCCGTGCTAAAGGACAGCCAGTTCGTGTTTTTGCGAAACTTCTTTGCAGTCAAAATGCCCAGCTCTCTGCAAGTCCTTCCTCCTCTTTCTTGTCCCAGGGCTGCTCTTGGTCGGTGATCTTCGTGGATCTTGACGCTCATAACCGTAACAGGCAGACTCTGTGCTCACTGCTACCCAGGGAATCAAGATCTCACGTGAGACATCTCTGTATTAAATTAACGCGCTATCATTTAAGATTTCCCCCTTTGATAAACCTTTATATACCTATGGTAGATTTCTGCAGATTTTTGTAGGGGTTATTTGTGGTTCTATTTTTAGAGAATACCCCAAATGGAATAGTCTATTTAAAAATAACTATTGTATAGAAGTAATGCAAGATTTTGATAAAAGTAAAATCCACAAATATGCAAGTAATATAATCTCTACTCATTATTTCACCACTCAGTTATCATCTTAGGGTGATATATATGTATTTATAGATTTCCATATATTTTATATACATATGTTATTTTTACTTTACAAAATTGGAAGAAAATTGTTCATAATACTTGACAACCTAGTTCTATGATGGGACCTGTTTCCATATCAATGAATGTTTCTACAGCATAAATTTTAATGGCTGCTACTTTACTCACCTCGTTGTTAGACATTTAGATTATTCTGTTTTTCACTATTGCAAACAAATTGTTATGACAGACTAAGTTGTAATGACTGATCACTGTTGTTACATTTGTGTGCGCTGCCTTAATTAGTATCTTCAAGAGTGGGATCAGGGTTGAACCTTGAAGATGCTTCTTACTGACGAGTGACGCTTCACCCCCGTGTGAGGCTCCACGCCGCACCAGACACATCTCTGTCCCCAGGGCCCGCCCCCTTGCTGGCCCCCGAGGCTGTCGGTGCGCCCCGCAGGCTCTGACGTCCCCTCCTCCTCTCATTGCCCAGAACACAGACGCTGCCCTGCTCCCGTGCATCAGCTACCCTGCCTTTGCCCTGGATGACGAGGCTCTGTTTATCCAGACATTTGACAAAGTGGTTAGAAAGTTAAAAGGAAAATACGGATTTAAGCGGTTCTTGAGAGATGGGTATAGAACATCCTTGGAAGATCCCAACAGACGCTACTACAAACCAGCTGAAATCAAGGTACCAAAAACTGCCCCACATGGCGTAGCAGAGCGGCCCAAACGCCGATGGAGGCGGTGGACTGCCTGGTGCGCACGCCGGCTCAGCCACTTAGTAGCTATGGGCAGCCAAACAGGCCTCTTTGGGTTTCATACTCTTCCCTGGTAAAATAATCGTGTGCACTATTATGGGTCCTGTTATTATGGTGCTTTATGGGTTCAGTGAGTTAATACGTATAAAAGCGCGTGGAGTGGCGATCGGCACATACAACATCAGCACTCGGTCAGCGCGGCTCCCGCGCCAGTGTGTCCCCGTCGGCCCGTGGGTCCGCTGGGTGCAGGTGCGCCCGCCCATCCAGGCCGCCCGTCTCGCGGGAGAGGAGGTGCCTGTTTGTGGTCCTGCTTTCACTCATTCGGCAAACACCCTTCTGTTTCACGTAGACACTTCCCTTTGCGACATAGCCCTCCCAGGGCTGAGTTCTGAACGGTTTTGTATCTCATGTACTAGCTGATTTTAAGCTGCCCGGACTCCAGTCCGGACAGCCCCGCAAGGTCAGCATCCCCTATGTTGCCGAGGCTTTGCCTTAGCGGGTCGACGGCAAGTCGTCAGTCCGGCCGTGGCCTTGGCCACCTCACTGAGGATGGGCGCGGTCCCGTGACGAGGGCAAGGGACCTCGGCGTAGGCTGCCCCTGTGTAACCGCGGGGCGTCCCCAGCGGCCTGCCAGCGGCTGCTCTGATCTCCTGCCCTGGCGCTCCCGGCTCTGCTCCCAGCTGCCCACCCGGCAAGTCAGTCTGAGAGGGAATGTAACCCCGCGCAGGGCCCACCGGGGTGCAGACCACAGGCCCTTACCTGAGTGTGGCTTCCCAGGCCCTTGGTGGCCTGGTGGCCGGCCCCCTCGTTGGCTTTCCGCACGCACGGTTCCTTCCCTGCTCGACCCAGGAACACAGACTCGCCCTCGGTCTCCTTGACTGACTTTGCTCCGTGCGTCTGTCGTTGCCCGGTCATGGAGTCCCTTAGCGCGTCTCCCTGGAGAAACCTGCCTAGTGTTATCTGAGGCCTCTCCCTTCTCAGACACCCTTCTCGGACCTGGACAGACGCAGGTGTCCTGCTCCCTGTCTCCCTGCCTTCCCAGGGACAGACATTTCGGAAGAGGCGACAGCAGCTTCCTCCCAGGCCCCTCCCCGGGGGCCGGGGCCTCCCAGGCGGGCGCTCTGGCTCGATGCCGGCCATTGCTAACTCAGTTCCTAGTGAGCGGTTATTGGAGGAAGGATCCTGGGTGGTGGATTAAACAAATGAGCTCATGAATGATGAGTTCTGAGAATTTTTTTAAAAGGAGCACTGAAACTACTTATAAAATCAGTCCCATTTTCATTATTACTGTAAATATGTATTTTTGTATATCCTAACTATAATTGCTCTAATTATTTTTCTAACATAACTGTTCCAATTAATTGCTCAGGCAGTGTTTAATATTTTATTTTCTGTTTTAGCTATTTGATGGCATTGAATGTGAATTCCCCATATTTTTCCTGTACATGATGATTGACGGTAAGTGGGCTTGTCTCCTGGCATAGGAGCGTTAGGGGGCAAGGAGGGGGGCGCGGCCGTGGAGCGTGACTTCGCGGGCGGAACAGTCCGCCTCTGGGTCGGCGGCTCCCCGGCTGCCTTGTGCACGCTCTCCTGCCTCCTGGTCCAGTGCTAGGGGGCTTAAGGAATTAAAAGTACTTCAAATTATTTTTAAAATAATACTGCCATCTTTTCATGTTTACAAAGACTTTTTAATGAGTAGAAACCATGCATACTAATTTAATCTGCGACATTGCGAATACCTCTAGCATTTATACTGACGAATAGGGAAATTTCAATTAAAATTCAGTTTCAGTTATAAGTGCTAACATGACCTTCTAAAACTGATTTCCTGGAAAAATATCACACACATTTTCATTGCCTTTTTCCAATTTTATTTTTATCATTTATGCAGAAAATTACCCAAATAATTATAACTGGGCTGATAGATTTTTCTAAGGTAAAATTTCTTTGGTGCTTACTGGGCTCAGATGCTATTAGAATTTGTATTTTACATTTTAGGCGTTTTTAGAGGCAATTCTCAACAAGTCAAGGAGTATCAGGATCTCCTAACTCCAGTTCTTCATCAGACATCAGAAGGTATAGTTGGATTGTTTTTTCAAGAAATTTTTCCTACTAATATTTCCTTACTGTTCCTTTGAAATGTGTAAGTGATTCCTTTGAAATAGAGCAATTTATATTAAATTGAAAAAATGAGCAGAGCCTTGGGTAAATTGGGAAGGATAATCTCTTCATTTGCTGTGATAAATTTGCTTTTATAAAAGGAGCTCCCTTGGCCAGACGAGAGCGGCGGCGCATGGACTGCGTTTAGGTGGTGGCAGCTTGAGTAGCTGCGAAGCCGCCTGCCCGAGCCTACGGGGCCCCCCTTGCCGGGTGCAGCCGGCCTCCGCCCTGCCATCGCTCCGGGGCTGAGGCGCGTTGTTTTGAGTGTCACCAAGGTGCTGAAATGCCGCCCTCCGCGGAGGGATTTAGAATTTCAGAAATGACCAGAAGGCCCAGTGTGCGGAACAGCGTCGTGGCTTCAGTCGGGCACCAGCAGGGCCCAAGAGAGGTCGTCGCAGGATTTTCCGTGGGAATGTACAACTCATTCTCAGAGGGATTCCAGGGAAGTTCAAATGCCAAACACCTTTGGCGTTTGAAACTATTCACAAATAAGATTATATTCTCCCGGGTGAACGGCTTTGAGAACATATTTACCTGGAAGTTAAAAACTGTTAGGCGTTGGTGAGAATGGCAGGCCTCGTGGCTGCAACGCAGCGCCGAACCCCTTCCTGGCTCCGCGGCATCCGCTGGGGTTTTCTCCGAGGGCCTCGGGTCAGTGTGTCACACCACGCGCTCACCCTTAAGAATACGCATACCGTTCAAGTCATGAAATGCTTAGGGAAGAAACTGAATTCCAAATTTAAATTCATTTTAAAACCAGTCACTTGTGTCTTTACGCGCCAGAGAATCATTGTCCAGTGTGAGGGGTAACATGGTGATGTGATGCTGTAACACTTGAAATCGCTTGAGTCAGATCGCGAGGCTCTCGCGGCTGCGGGTCCGGTGCGGCGTGGCGGCGGCTGGTGAGCCGCACTGTGCAGGCTTCATCCGGTGGGAGTGACGTCCGAACGGTTCTCTGCGTGTGTCAGACGTTGTCACTGGCTTTAGACATGAACATCACTACTGACCGATGTGTGAAGAAGGAGCTTTAAAGAAACCTGTGAACGTTTATTAGAAAAATTAAGTTTCCCATGGGCTGATACTGCAAAAAACTCTTCGAATGTTATCTTTTTCCCTTTTATATTATCCACAAAGATTCTAGTCTTTCAATAATAATTTTTAATTTCTACTTAGGAATATTTTGAAATGGGTCGGTCACAGGGGAAGGTGGTTTTTTTTCTCTTCAGTGACAGTAAATGACACATAATGGGCTTAATGTTTAAAATGGGGATTTCTCTGCCCTAAGCAACGGCTCGGGCTTGTAATTCTTCCCTTCCGATAACCCAGCATCTCATTTCAAAAGCTTCCACGGACTAATCCTATTACACAGAGCTTCTCCTGTGTCTCAATATTTGCGTGCGGTATTTGTTGATTCACTCAAAGGCGCTAAAACGAAATGTTGTTCAGGGAGCTTATGCACATTGCTGGCTAACACAGAACGTACGCTGTGAAACCCGGGTTGTCAACGCAGGGAGCTCCTGCCACGGCCTTCGCGGGCAGTGTCTGCGGGGCGCCCGCATCGGGGTGCCGCGTCCCGCCCCGCGCCACCCGACGAGGCTGTCCCGTTGGCTCCATGTAGTTCAGCTCCTCTCTCTCTCTCTCTCTCTCTCTCTCTCTCTCTCTCTCTCTCCGCGCCCCCCCCCCTTCTGGCCACTGTGCTTTCTTGAAGGGAAACTGTGGGAAGGACACTGATTTGCTGTATTTTAAATGTTTCTTTTCAAATGCCGTAGGTCATCCTGTGGTACCCAAGTACTATTATGTGCCAGCTGATTTTGTAGAATATGAAAAAAGAAACCCTGGCAGTCAAAAGCGGTTTCCTAGCAACTGTGGCCGCGATGGAAAGCTGTTTCTTTGGGGACAAGCCCTGTATGTCATCGCCAAACTCCTGGGTAAGTGGAGAAAGTTGGGTCCGTTCTTTCCCCTTGTTATCAGGTCCATGGAAGCATGTCTTTGCCGACATTTTTCTTGGACTTGGGCGGTGTTCAAGCTGCTAAGAGGTCCAGGGGGAGTTTCTTAGTGTGTAAAGGTCTAGAAATAGGCCTGTTTCAGTGCGTGTGCTGGGCGGTTCTGGGAAGACTGTCAGGTGGGCACGGGGTCCGCTGTGGCCACTTCGGGGCTGCCTTCAGCCAGTGGGCAGGCTTCCAGCAGAAGGCCAGAGGCACTCCGATGTCCTTTTATATGCTACAATAACATTCTGATTTAATATAATGGTCGTATTTGGTCAGAGCTTTAGTAAACCACTTGCCAAAAGGAATTGTTTATGTCAAAGCTCTCTTCTTTCCAATAAATACACAGCAATTTCACTAGCTAGATGCTAAGTGGGGCCATTACTCACAGTTCTTTGAAGAATTATTTTTCAGCTACTCCAAAAACGTCCGCTGAAAATGTCTACTCTGGACCCACGGAAATGAAGCTAATTTAATGAACATTAAAAAGTATTATGCATCTCCCTGTGCCATGGCCTGCCAAAATGTCAAAGATTATTAGCATGTCCATCAAAAAGGCCATCACATTAGAGTGAGGATTCCTCTACGGCTCACAGGTGGCAGACCAGGCGGGTTTTAAACACTGCACCTACATGAGAAGAACCACTTACTGTGCGAGACGCTGCATCGCCTCCGCTGGCCATGCGAGTGCCATGTAGCGGCCGGCCGTGTATGCGCCATGGCAGTGATCATTCTGGGTTTCTTTGTTTGCGTTCGTGTGGGAAGAGTATTTCAAAGCCCAGGTTTCCAATTCAAGCTTCACACAAGTAACATACAAAAGCGAGTAGAAGTCCCCCCAAGTGAAGGGAATGACGTCAATGCTGGTCGCAAGCTTCTCGTTTCCCTGCTGCGCTTTCTGGGCCTCCATGTAAACTTGGAATGCTGATTTAAGACCCTGGAGAAAAATCTTCTTTCATTTGGGCAGCTTTTGATAAGGAGTTCATATTATTTATATAGATTTTGCTTTTATACTTTCCAAAAGAAAAAAAAATACATACATATATTAGTTTTCTGAGAATCAAGCCCAGGTTGGTAAGGTTACCTCTGGTTAGAATGTTATTTTTATCTCTCTAGCAGGAATACAAAGAAACCTCATTGATACTCAGAGCTAAATAAAAATTTCAGCAGAGGAGCAGCCAAGCTGTGTAAGGACAGAATTTTAATGTCAGACTCATGAATTTCTATATACCGGCACGGTACTTGGAAATTACAAATGAGCGTGATGAAAATGTGTGATTCCGAGGCTGAAAACCGGTCCCTGGGATAAGAGACTGGAGAGCTAACCCTCCCTCTTGCACGTCGCTGTGTGTCCAGCCTGAGGGCGATCGGTTGGAAAGAGCGTTATTTGAGCAAAGCCTCCAGTGCAGCTGAGAAGGCTAATGACTTGGGAGCTCAGTATCGACCGGACTCAACATAAGCAAATTGAGCTTTTAAAAAAACGATTGAAAATAGCATCAGTCAGTAAAAAAAGCATTGGACCTTCCTTATGCCAAAGTCAATGTAGTGAACGCAGATAGATTTTCAATGTAAATAGCGTTTTCTTGTGTTGAGACTGGAGCAACAGAAATAGCCCGGGCAGTCCAGGCTTCCGTCTCTGCTTCATGATCAAAAAGAAGAGAGACTTCAAAGGAGAGTCAATTTCTCTTTTCCCTGTTGAGCCTCTAAAGAGCCAGCAGAGAACATGCAGAAGGCGTGGTGAGAACTGGGAAGCCACATCCTTGCCACCCCCCCCGCCCCCCCTCCAGAGGAAGGGACATGGCACATTCATGAGCCCCCGGGGCACCGCAGTGGGTCTCCGGGTTCCCAGCTCCCCGGTCAAGATGAAGGGGTCTCTGAGGATTGAGTCCTTCAGTGGCTTTTTGCTGCTGGACACTTGCCCCGAGCACCATCAAGCTTCTCTGGGGGCTGCAGAGGTTCCAGATACGATCCCATTTACGCACAAAGTCGCACTTACTCATGAAAGGGGCCTTGGCTGGATATTTGTTTGACAATGTTTTGTGGGTGGTTTACTTGGAGTTACATGAAACTAATAGAAGAGTAAAATCTTTTAAAATATTTTTGCAGTGCTTTACGGCATTCACTAATTCATGAGAGCTTGTAACCAGTGAACTCTAATCAGAGTGTCTTGCTCTGTGTGTGCCTGAGTGAATAATGACACATCAAAAACTGTGTGACTTTTATTCCACTGCCAGAGCCCAAAGACCCAGTCTGCAATAACATTTCCTGGCCCAAGGCCTCAACTACCCATTCTGTTCTCAGAAAATAGTTCATTCTTACAGCATTTTTTTTCTTTAGAAAAGTTAGACTTTGAGAAAATCAGTGTTTGCTATAAAATAGGTAAATAAATTTTAGACATAGTTATTTTAAACCAGATAAGACCTATTTTAAGATATAGCATTTGACTTGTCTAAGAATAAAATGATCATTCGCTATCTTCATTGTTAAATATGGACGTGTAGACACTCCATGTAAGAGATGCCCAGTACCATTGTGAGTTCCTAGGCAGAAATAACCTGAAAGTATTTATCATATAAAAATCACCTGAAAATTATGATATCTGGGCGAAATCTTTTGTGGTTAAGAAAACTAGAGAAATATAAGATTAACATAATGATAATTTTGAACTTCACCAAACCATCACTTAAGTTAACATATTTTCTTATTCAATACTTTTTAAAAACAGAAGCTAATAGGTCAGTTGTTTAGCTTTAAAGGAAATCCAACTTCTAGGCTTTTCAGCAAATAGGCACGCGTTGTCCTCCCCCGCACTCCAGGCATTGGCCAGGGACCTCCATTCAGGTGCCGTGGTGAGAACGCCACTCCCTGGAGACAGGCCGCGCAGGGCGCCAGGCGGCTGGAGAGCTCTTTGAGGAAGGGCGCTTCGAAGACGTCGTTAGCAAGCATCAGGAGTTAAAGTGTTGTCTTGGAGTAAGGCCGAATTATGGGGCCATTTTAATTAACTGCACCTTTCTAGTACATACGAACACCCCAAATACTCAGGTGAATGAAAATTGTCTTGGATTCACAGAGGACTTTTTCTTCTTTTTGCGATAGGTATTATTTAATTCCCTAAGGGAGTCAGTAAGAGACTTGAGGTGATAGATAGAGAAGTACATTGCCTTTGCCTTATCCCCAATGCCACGTGCACACATGCGCGCACATGGGGCTGGGCCTGACGCCCTGTGACCCGCGCGGCCCCTCCCTCAGCGCACAGGCCACCTCTGCGCCCTGGCCGCCGGGGGTCAGCCGGGCTTCGAAGCCCACCCTCCCCTCGTGAAACGTCTGCTGAGCCTATTAGAGTGTGTCCTCTGTAAGTCTGATGTCATGACAAAAAATCTACTTCCTGTTAAATATTTTTTAAGTTCTTTTTCATTAAAGAAAGAAAAATTCTTAAGATATTTTACCCTCAACAGTTACTGTTTGAGCTAAACTCAGGGTGTACTTCATAAAGCCTTCTGTTGATCACAGTGCAGACATCAGCGACCTAGTGTGTCCTCCCATGATCTGAAGGCACCTGGTGCATTTACGAAACACTCACTCCCCGTGGGCACGGCCCTGGGCACCTGCCAGCGTGAGCGCTGCCCTCCCCCGCCCCCGCCTCGTGCACCCCAGCTGCCCTGTGCTCCCTGGGGTGTCAGCTCTTTCAGGCTGTCCTTCTTAACTCGAAGACCAGGGCCTTGGCCTCGGCACAGGGAATACTCTGTTTTGCTTCCAAAATGATAAAAATCGGTGCAGTGAGAAAACAAAAAAATCCCCGTTAACCTGACCTGTGCAGGTGGTAGGCACCTTCACCATGACAGAGGTGAAAGCAGTGATCACAGCGCGGAATGTTTCCGAAAGTGGTAACCCAGCCATGCGTTATTTTGTTTATCCAGTTGCTTGGGTGCCTGCACATGCAGCTGGGGGATGGCCACACGTGGGCAGGTGCCGCCTGCCGGGCCTCCCGTGCGCCTCAGGCCGGGTGGCCCTGCCGGACGAGGAAGGGAGGAGGAGGAAGCACGTGGAGAGATTTTTTCAAAAGACTCGGTTAACTCTTTTATTCATATTAATTTTAATAGATTAGCATTTATGCTTTCTAAGGATATAAGATTTCTTAATTTATCTGTCATCATTTATAAATAACAAAATAATAAAGAGAGAACTTCATTTGTGTAGCATATGACAGGGAAACATTAATTATGTAAAGCACTTCTTGGTGGAGTGGAAATTGTTCCACGTCCTGGTGATCAGACAAATGAGGTAAGGAAATAATTTGCTGCTACTTAAAATATCACTGTTCTAATCAACCCTGCATCATGAGCTAAACTGATAGTAATAAATTGAAATTATAGGTCGTTATTTGCCATAATTACGCCTATATTGGTTCAGTTTAAATTTTGCAAAAGTGTATTCTTTTCAGAGTGTTGGGTGATAGGCCCCTGTGCTGGGTGGGAGGGCTGCCGCCCCGTGAGGCCTGGGTCGCCTGCTGTTTTCTCCTGCTGCAGAGGGTGGTCGGGCTCTTAAAGGGCCAGGCCAGCGTGTGGTGAAGCGCCCCGGCTGCGGAGAGCCCCTTTGGAGCTGGACTCTGTCGCCTACGAGCCTGTGTGCAAGCTGCTTCACTGCGCGGCACCTTCTTTTCGCCGTTCACCGAATGGTTAGGGGGCGGCGAGGACTGACGGATTGGTCCACGTGAAGTGCTCAGGCAGCGCCAGGGACGTGGTCAGTGCTGCATGGGCATTGCGTGCAGTGACTTCTGTGGCCGCCGCCGTCACCGCTCCTCCTTATCCTTGTTATTCTGTTATTAACACCACTTTTGTTATTATTAAAAGCCCCTCCCGAGAGGACTAAAAATGCCGCTGGTGCCTCTGCCTAGTGGCTGACGTTGCCGTTGCCATGTGCCTGGAAACGACCCTGGCGCAGGGGTGGGGCGGGGGGCACTCCCTGCCCTGCGTGTCAGTCCCTCGCCACCTTGGGCGGTGGGGGGAAGCCGAGGGCCGGCGGCGAGCCTGTGCACAGGGGCAGCACCGTGCCCGTTGTACGCGATCAGTACGGAGCCGAGGGGCAGGGGGGACGCGGCGTTCCCGCGGCTGACCCGCGGCTGACCTGCAGCACAAGCAAGGATGCCGGCCGGCTCGCTTCAGGAGGGGTGGGAGCCTGTCCCCTGCCTCGCCGCCACTCCGAATTGCCTTCCTGTTGCACCCTTGGGTTTGAGCAGAAGTTGCCACTAGGAACTACCCGGTGCAAAGGGCTCCACAGTTACAGCAGCTGTTGACACCCCTGCCCCGTGTTGGTCAGCACCCCAGAAGCCTCTTGTGGCATTTAGCATCAGGAGACACGTTGCCTCCCCTCTAGGAGCTGGTTTCCTCCCCGAGAAGGCAAGGACGCGACTTTTAGAACAGCTTTCCTGAGGCTGTTTCACAGTGTGCATGCCATGCATTGTCACCTAAGGCTCACAGTTCAGTTGTTTTTAGGGCCCTTGGGGAGAGAGAGTCGTGCTGCTCTCACTGCCAGTTCTAGAAGGTTTTCATCCCCCCAAACCTCATGCTGTTGAGCAGTCAGCGCCCATCTCCTCCGAATGACTTCACTCTCCCCCTCAGCACGAGGCAGTCATTGTCCATTTTCTCTTTCTATGGACTTCCCTCTGTTGACATGCCATCTGCCTCGGGTCATGTAATGTGTGGCCTTCTGTGATGGGCTGCTTTTGCTTTGCTTGCTTTCGGGGTTCATCGGCACTTCCTGTCTTTTTATGGCACAGTGGCACTCCACTGTGCGCATGGACCACGTCTGGTTTATCCATTCAGCTGATGATGGATATTTGGGCCGTTGCCGCTTGTTTGCTGTGACGAATAATGCTGCTGTGGACTTTCACGTACAATTTATTGCTTGACATGTTTCCATGTCTCTTAGATGTATATCGGGTAAAATGGCCGGGTTGTGTGGACTACATTCAGTTGCCCAGCAGCGTTTGTGAAAAACCATTCTTTTCCCCATTGAAGTATTTTGACACCCTTGTCAAAAAGCAGTTGACCATAAATGTAAGGGCTTGTTTCTGGACTCTCCCCTCTGTTCCACTGGCCTCTCCCTCAAGGCCGGCTCCACACTGTCTTAGCTGCTGTAGCTCCTCCCTCTTACTCTCCCTGTGCCCTTCGCTTCTTTTCCTTGCCTGATTTACCCGGCCGGAACCTGCAGTACAGCATCAAACAGGAGCGGCAGGGGCAGACGCCATTGTCTTGTCCCTGGTCTTCGGGGCAAAGTATTCGGTGTTTCCTCTTTCTTTCTTTTTTTCATTGAGTATGACCTCAGCCATGGGTTTTCCATCGATGCCCTTTGCCAGGTTGAGAAAGTTCCTTATCCCAGTTTGTTGAGTGGTTTTATCATGACAGGATGTTGAATTTTGTCAAGTATGTTTTCTGTGTCTACTGAGATGACCCTGCAGGTATTGTGTCCTTCCTGTTGAGAGGGCGGGCCACAGTAACAGATTTTGGGTTTTTGGGGGTGTTAGGCCATCCTTGCATCTGTGGGGTAAATCCTTCTTGGTCATGGTGTGTAATCCTTATGTGTTATTAGGCTTTCTCTGCTAGTATCTTTGTTTAGGGTGTTTGTGTCTATATTCAAAAGGGATATTGTTTTGTAATTTTCTTGTGGTCTTTGATTTTGGTCTTAGGGTAATACTGGCCCCTTAGAATGAGTTGGGAAGTGTTTCCCCTACTATTTTGGGGAAAAATTGGTGAAAGATTGGTTTTAGTTCTTTAACTTTTTGGCAGAATCCACCAATGAAAAAATCTGGTCCTGGGTTTTGTTTTTTGTTTTTTTTAATGGGAAATTTTAGTCATTTGTTACAAATCCATTCAGATTTTATGTTCCCTCTAGAGTCACTTTTTGTAATGTGGCTATTTCCAGGAATTTGTTCATGTCCATCTAGGCTATCTAATGACTGGCATGCACTTGTTCATAGTATTTCCTTTCAATCCTTAAGATTGGTAGTAATGTTGCTACCTTCATTCCTGGTATAGTAATTTGAGTCTTCTTTCTTATTCTCTTGGTCAGTCTAGTTAGAGGTTTGTCAACTTTTGATCCTTTTAAAGACTCTACTTTTGGTTTCATTTATGTTCTCTATTGCTTATTTATACTCTATTTCATTAATTTCCACTATAATATTTATTAATTCTTCAGCTTACTTCTGATTCAGTTAGCTGTTTCATCCACTGTCTTAAAAGTGGGGAGGGTAGACTATTGATGTGAGATTGTTCTTTGGTTTTAATATAGGCATTTACAGTTATGAATTTACCTCTGAATATTGCTTTAGCTGCATGGGATAAATTGTGGTATATCATGCCTTCATTTTCAATCATCTCATCAGAAAGTATATTAGAAATTATTTTTTAATTTCCCTTTTTATTTCTTCTTTGGCCCGTTTGTTATTTAGGAATATGTTTTTAAGTTTCACATATTTGTGAATTTGTAAAATTTCCTTTTGTTACTGATTTCTAATTTCATTCTGTTGTGGTTGGCCAACATACCTGTCTGGTTTTAATCCTTTTACATTTATTGAGGCATGTTTTATGGCTTAGCACATGGAAGATGTTCCATGTGCGTTGAGAAGGACGTATATTCTGCTCTTGTTGGTGGAGTGTTCTATACATGTCTGTCAGGTGTTGTTGGTTGATAGTGCTGTCCAGATGCATTTTGGGTAACGTCCTTTCCTTTTTTTCAGCTGATGAATTAATCAGTCCTAAGGACATTGATCCTATCCAGCGCTACGTCCCACTACAGGATCAGCGGAATGTGAGCATGAGGTTTTCCAACCAGGTAAAGAGATATTTTATGTCTTAAGTTAGACTCATTCAAAGACACTTACAGCTTAATTGAAGAAGAAATTGTATTCAGAATGGGGCTTTTATTGGCCCTGCTGAGGGCAAGCCTTCCCCCTCTTTCACTTAGTCAAGATTTGCTTGTTTGTGCGTCAGCAGTACTTTAATTTAAAAGGTGCTGTGGGAAGGTTTCCCTGCTCGTGAGGACGCGTGAGTCCCGCGTCCACCCAGATGCTTTCCGGGCCAACGCTGTCCTCTTCCCAGCGGTTACGGCCCAGGCGGCAGATGTGTCTGAGGGGATGCAGTTTGTACGGGGGTAGGGGATAGATGAGACGCACTGTCATTGAAGGGAGAGGATCCCACTCGGGGCCCTGTGCTCGCTGTCCCTCCAGGGTGGCATCTCTGTGGCAGGACTGAGTGGCTGACAGAGCCGTGCTTGGCACTTGGTGACATGTTGGGGGAAGGAATAGGTCCCATTTTCTACACTTAGTCCTGTGGATTCAGACGACGTCATGTCAACAGACGAAGTGCCCGCAGGATCGGCACGATTGATGTCCGCGTGAGCAAGCCCGCGAGCACCGGCGGCCCCGGGGGCCCCGGCAGCGGGGCGCGTTGAGGCGGTCGGCTGTGCGCCGGGCCCGCGCCCGGGGAGAAGCGGGTGGCCCGAGCGTGTGCCTGGGCCGCCCGTCAGGTGACGGCCTTCACAGCGGGTGTGCGCGCAGCGTTTACGCGCTCCTTTTATTTTAGCAAACGTCCATATGTGCCACACACACAAATACGTGCTTGTTTTAGCGAGAGAAAGGGAGAGCTCCCGGATCCATTGGTTCTGTCACACCGTGTCTCTGCTCCTTTCCATGGCTCCAGCAAAAGCTGATTGCTCTATCGAGGCTCTTCGTAGAGCCGAAGCTGTTCAGGCGCCTTTTAAATAAATGGCGAGATTTCCTCAAGGATATGAAATCCCCTTGTCAGTACCTGATAGACAGTTTGCGCTCGCCGGCCGGCCGCCCTCTCAGGTGGGGGCGTGGCCCCCGCCTTAGCACGGCGTCTGCGCAGGGCGGGGTCGTTGCCGGCGTGCGGTCCTGCCGGAGGGGCGGGGCGCTCAAGGAGCGGGGCGGACCCCGCGTCTGTGGATATGACCGGGGAGAAGTTCGGCTTTGAGACGGTGGTTCCGGAAGGCTGCCCGCCTTGTCGGAGGAAGAGCCCGGAAGTGGCGGGAACGGGGCGCCGGCTGTCAGAGGGGCTCTCCCGCGGTGCCGCCGGGGCAAGGTCCCCACGCTGTCCGCGGTCAGCCCGCCTGGGACGTCGTGGTTCCGGGTGTGGTCTGTGAGCCCCGCGCTCTGTTGCTGGCTCCCATGAGCCAGGTTCCTGGCAACCTCGGAGTGGCTGCAGCGGAGCCGGGAGCCAGGCTGCAGGGAGTGCGAGAAGGGTTCAGTGGCGGACGGCCATCGGCCCGCCCAGTGAGCTGCGGCGGCCCGGGCCTCCCCCGAGCTGGCCGATGCTTCCTGTAGCCCCTGCGACTTGGACTGACCCCCGCACCCCCATTTTATTCTTGTTTCACAGCTCTTCTCAGTTTTTAAAGGTTTACTAGTCTTAGCTGATTTAAAGAAATTTTGTGAGGCTCAGGTTTATTTGGTTCACTTCATCGTAATGCCCTCAAAAAGTTTAACCAATTTGAGACTTAAAGGATTTAAAAAAAAACAAAACTTCATTAGTTTGGCAAAGAAAGAATTTGTATGGGACTGAAGCGCCTAATTAATCTACAAGCATGGAGGTGAATTTAAGTACTAAACAGTTCTTACGATCGTTATAATGAAACAGAATAAAACAGTCAAGGCATCAAAAGCGCTTCCGAAAGCCTGGCCCTCGCAGGCCACAGCTGCTCAGAGGTTCTCCCCAGGTGATTCTGTATTCGGTCTTTAAGGAAAGTGAGTTTCCTGTCAGAGCCAGTGAAAATGAAATGCCTTGATCAAAAAGACCCAGACCTGAGAAAAGCCAAATTGGAAATTTAAAAAAATGAGCTCAAACGCATTTAATAGCCTCATTCCAATTAACTCACTGAACTTATTAAAATTGAAAGTCCCCAAAACAGGCATGAGCGATAATGAAACATTTCACCTGCTAGACGAAGAAGCCTTCTTGTAGTCAGGGCTGGGAGGTGGAAGAGGGAGCGCGAGAAAGCAAGGTCCACAGAGCAGCACGGGAGGCACAACGAATATCGCGATCCAGTGTCCCTTGAACTCCAGCCTCCAAGGCCCTGCAACCCGCGCATTTGTTGGCCTGTCCCGCCCTCCCCCGGGAACCGCCCCCGCCCCCCCGCCCCCCGTGCCAGCCCTGTGCAGCGCGGCACATTGTTCTCTGCAGCCCAGGCTTAATGTGGTGTCGCACAACTAAGAATGATGAGCGTTCTACGCCATATACATGATTTAATAAAAGATAATTTTAAAATCTAATTGCTGAGAACTGAAGAATTATGTTCTGTCTAAAGCAGGTAAGAAAATAGATGTTTTGTAGAAGCACTAGGAGTTCAGCTTTCCTACAACCCAATCGCAGGTGGGTGGGGTGCGGGCTTCTAGTGGAACATGGAGGACTTCGCCCACCACTCTGCTCCCCATGATTGTAATGCGTTCGAACAACCACGTGGCGGGTAATTTCACGTGTCCCGAGCACGCACGTGTCAGGGTGGACAGGGCTGCGGATGGGTGGGCTGTCTCTGCAGGGGTCAGGCCCAGTAGGCCCCAACGCCCGCCCCGGTGGGAGGCCCTCACCACAGAGGCAGGAACAGAACAGGAGGTGGCAGCCTCCCCGCTGAGCGAGGGCCCCTCCGCCCGATGGCTCTCCCCCCACCCTGGGTTGCTGGCTTTTCTCCTGCCTTTGGATTTGAGCTGGGTCTTGAGCTGCTGGGCCTAGCAGTGTGTCCTCTCCCTAAATCCTCAGCGGTTCTTTCAGAGAGGGAAACTTACTATGTTTCCTGCAGAATTGAAATCCTGGAAACCTCCCAATGTCTCTCAAAGTAAACATTCCTGAAATAAATGACGGTGTACCCTATAAGATGGCCCTGCAGCCATTAAAAAAAAATGAGGTACAGTGACCAGTGAAGTAACTTTTACATGATGATAAGCACACCTTTGAAAACTTACCTGTGTGCACCTGTCCTAGTAAACTCCAAACTCCCCAAAGAGGGCACGGGGCCACGGTCGTCCGCTGGCATGAGGGCCTGTTGCAGAGCCTCGTAGGTCAGTGCGCCTTGCCTAGTGGTCAGATGAGTCGGCACAGGAGCGCGTGTGCAGCGGAGCTCACGTGTGCCGCACGGGGCGCGAGGGGTGCGCGCGCGTGTGTGTAGGTGTGTTTGTGTGCGCGCGTGCTTTGTGCACCTGAAAGCAGACAATATTATTAAGGAAAGGGCTGTTCAGAAATATGAGGACGTTTTCAGAGAGATTCATAGGTTTAGACAGCTGTGTTGGTGGCTTGAAGCAAATGGCAAGTAAAGAGGAAGGATGACTCCAGCGTCGCCAGTGACAGGGGTCGTTGGGGCGGGGCTGCCGTGCTGGGTTCTCCCCGTGCTGGGTTCTCCCCGTGGGTGAAAAAACGGGTGAAGGCCCCACTGGGCCGGGGCGGGAGGTCAGAGCCCTGTACGGTAGGAGGTTTGTGATTGGGACTTTCTGGAGCACCGAGTTTTTACAGTGAAAGTGAACTCCGTCTAGCGGGTCCCCAACCAGATGCTCTCCGTGGCTCCACATGTGTCCTGGGCGTTGCAGAGCCACCCAGCCTGGCACACAGATGGAAGCAGCATTACCTGCACAGACCTGTGGCTCAGAAGGGAGAAGCCAGTTGCTGATTGGGAGCTGTGAGCTGCCTGGCTCCCTGTGATTGAAGTGCTACCTGAATTCTAGGGTGTGCTTACTGGCTCTTTATTTAAGAATCCCCAGCTGTCCCGTGGGCTGTCGGTGACGGCCCCTCTCAGGCCGCCCCCCTCCTGATGGAGCAAACGCCCGATTTCACCCAAGAGAAACAAGGCCCAGGGTTTCCGGTGGTTGTTAGACATCCCCACGGACCTCTAGATGATTCATTTTTCTCCTTTTTGAGTAATATTAACTGTTTAAGTCTTTTCACAAATAAAAATAGAATTTATGGCAATTTTAATGTATATTTATTTTGTTAGGTTGTTATGTTTTTCTTTTACACGTTCACGTAAATCACACGGAAGTCTGCCGGAAACAGCATTTTTGTGGTTTTTACTGCTGATCCGCATATTCTGGTCTTTTTTGCTTCCATCGTATATAAATCCTAGCAGCATCCTGAATGCCACGGAGGAGTTGACTGGTGGGAAATCAAGCTTTACAGCATCCTATTGGGAATGGTGGGTTCATTACTATAAAATAATTACGCTTGGTATTTTCAGAACTTCCTAATTAGTAATTTATTGGTACTTGTTAATGTCTTCTGTTAATTATATGTAGGCTCAGTGCACAATATATGCTGTAGCGAGTCTTTTTCACAAACGAGCCGTGTGTCCAGCGCTGTCTTTGGCTGGAACCGTCAGGCCAGCAGCTTGTCTTTGAGGAGCACGGGGCTAACAACGCGGTCAGTGGGGTCGCCCTCTCCGCTCCAGGAACTGTCGGTTAGAGATGCTCTGATGTATGAGAGGACACAGGAAAATCAGCAGGCAAGGAAGGGAAGAGTCTTCTATGTAGTTAAGATGTCAAGTGAGTCATTTGGAGCCACATTTTTTTTTTTTTTACAGAGAATGTAAAAATTGGGTTTTTGTTTTTAGTTCCTTTTCGTCCCTTCGGAGCTAAATGATGGAAAACGACTCTCGGTCTCCAGACTACTCTTACACATCATTCAAAAGAGCCCTGATGGGCGGGCCTCCCTGGCCGGGGGGGGGGGAGATGTGTGGCCCCTCCCTGGTGTCCGCACGCAGTCCACACCCTTGGACTGCTCAGTGGGCAGCGGAGCGCGGGGGCGTGGAGGCGGCTCCTCCAAGCCAGTGCGCGTCTGTGCTTTAACGAGCTACTCAGAGATGGTTAGCGTTGTCCTTGACTCCCATGGCGACTGTTGATGGCCATGTCTTCTGAAACCTTCCCCCCATCCGTTCTGCATTGCAGGGCCCACTGGAAAACGACCTGGTCGTCCACGTCGCACTCATAGCGGAGAGCCAACGGTACGAAGCCCAGATGGGCGGCATGTTCCTGGCGGGGCGGGGGCCCGAGGTAGACCGGTCGCTCTGTGCTTACAGCACTCAGGGTGGTAGCAGCAATGCAGTTCGTGGGCCCCTTGGCAGGGTTTCCAGGTGTCATGACTGTCACTTTAAGTGCCATACCAGCCCTCTTGTCACATTTGACCTAATTTTGCTTTAGTTGATGTACACACGGAAGACTGTGCCCCGGGCTAGCGCTGCCTGGGCACAGTTGTGAGACCTCAGTGCAAAGAGGCTGCGGGGACTCCCCAGCGCAGTGCCTGCCTATCGGCCAGTGCCCAGCGCCCTGCGTGATGCTCGCGAGGAGCCCAGGGCCTCTGGTTCCGCGCAGGTGCCAAGCTGCTGGCGTGCGCAGGTTGTTGTAAAGGCGGTGTCCGGGTCAGCGCGGCTTTCCTCCCCCTTGACCCGTGTCCAAACCAGGCAGTACATTGTCTCAAAGTGTCTCTCTTTCTCTCCCTCTCTTTTTGCGTAGCCTGCAAGTCTTCCTCAACACGTACGGGATTCAGACGCAGACCCCTCAGCAGGTGGAGCCCATTCAGATATGGGCCCAGCAGGAGCTTGTGAAGGTCGGTGGGCCTGTTTCTTTCCTGCCCACTTTGGGGGACGGGGCCGAGGGGCGATGACTAGACTCGGAGTCCAGTGAGGACACGCAGGGAGCACCCAATTCTGAGGTGGGGCCTTTCCTCCGAAAGCCCCCCTAAGGAAGCCAGAAACCCACTTCACCAGCCACTGTAAATTAAAAACTAAACTGTGTCGTGTGTGTCTATGGTATATTCACAGGGCTTGTTGATTTCTGCTCCTTGCTAAGGTCTGTTGCTAACCTCGACGGAGCACTTCAATAAAAGTGCCTTAACATTAGTAGTTGTGTAAAATTAACTTTTACATTTGATCTGATTATTTTCCCTTCTATTAACTGTTAAAGAAACCTTCTCTGCTAAATATTTATTGGTCATAAGTACTTCTTTTTCCTGTAGCCTTATGCTTTGCAGTCTGAAGTAGTTCCTAGCCCTTTGGCATGGTGGGTCTCAAAATAACTATAAAATAACGTCGAAGTTTGCCTTTGGGGCGGTCGCGTACGCGTCTGGATTGGAGTAAAAGGTGGCCTTCGAGGCCTTTGCGTGCCCCACTCGCACAGGTGGTGGGGGCTCGGGTCCGTGTTTGGGACTCTCCCCGCTCCTGCGACAGGAGGTTGCTGGATTCCACGGGTTCTCTGTAAACTGCCGTTTTATTTGGTGATGCTCAGTACAGAGCACTTAGTGGCTGGCTTGTTTGCCTGCGAGTTCGCTGGGTAAGGTTTCCCTGCCTCTTTTCCTCTGGTGCAGCACAGTAGTCGGGGCGCAAAATGGGGAGAGCGCCGCTGCTCGCCTGACTCTGATCACGTTTGTGTCTTGCAGGCTTATTTCCACCTGGGTGTCAACGAGAAGCTAGGACTCTCGGGGAGGCCGGACAGGCCCATCGGCTGCCTGGGCACGTCCAAGGTGCTGCGGGCTCTCCTCGGACGAGGGCGGGGGCGGGGGCGGCGGGGGCAGGGACAGAGCCACGCGCCAGGCTGCTCGTGCTGGGCGCCTTCGGTGAACCATTCTTTTTTACAAGTAGACAGTGTCACTTGTTTTGAGTGATGTCACAGAAGTCCTCTGGGGATGAATAAGCACCCTGCCTGCACTGTTATTTCTGTGCGTCCTAAGGTGCCGGATGGTGACAGCGGTCACTCCAGCCAGGGCTTCCCGGCAAGGCGGCGGGGGCTGCGCCGGTGAGCGCACCGGTGCAGCCGAGGAGCTTTACAGTTTCTCCATAGCGTGTGCTTTTTACAAGATAGACTCTTTTATTTGCTTACTCAGAGTTAGACATCAGGTTTAATTTTTATTAGGGCTTCTGTTGCTGTACCTTTGGTCGGTTTTGTGTTTATTTTTAACATCTCCCTGCAGATATATCGCATTCTAGGGAAGACGGTGGTTTGTTACCCTATCATCTTCGACCTGAGCGATTTCTACATGTCCCAAGATGTTTTACTGCTCATAGATGACATCAAGGTAGCTTCGACGTCTCCTTATTGAATGGGATGACTTTGTTTCGACTGGTCTTATCGTATGATTTGGTGTCGAGTGCTCCTGGGTCTCGCGCACCATGGGACACCGGGCAAAACCTGACAGTAAAGTGGCGGCCGATAGGCCTTGGGGAGGGGGGAAGTCACTTGCAGCCTCAGGGGACAGGTGGCACCTGTTTTATATAAGGCTGTGTGGCCGTGCTTGTTGTCCCTTCTACGTGGGTCTGTACAAGCAGGGCAGGAACTAGCTTGGAAACCACGTTCCTGTGACACTAATGGATGATCCCTTTTTGAACAACAGTGGAGTTAGCAAAATTATTTTATGAAGAACGTCAAGAAAAACCTCAGCTAACTCACACCACCTCACTAGCGAAACCTGCCCTGTTGCCTGTTCCCCTCCTGCTGCAGAGAAGCTGCACAGGCCAGAGCGGGTGTCTGGGGTCCCATTGCATTTGTGAGACTTTGGCCCCACTGTTTACCAGTCGTGTGATCGTGGGCACGTTCCTCAGGTTCTCTGTGTCTCTGTTTTCTCATCATTACGACTTAGGTGTAAGTTATATGCCTAAGGAGTAATGAGAGAGCTGTTGTGAGGACTGAGTGAGTTAGTGTCTGCGAAGCACTCAGAGCCCGGCACGCGCCGCGTTGTTACGCACATCTCTGATGTGATGATGGCGATAGAAGCTGAGTTAGAGAGAGAACCCTCACATTTCTGAAGGTCTGTCCAGATTTAGTCCTATCCCGCCCACCTCCTGTCATATAAACTCACAGTAACGGCTGAGAATTAATCTCTGGATGGCAACGTGGGTTGATTTACCCTCCCCGGGACCATTCGTGAACTGTGTTCATTAGGCCACACACACAAAGCAGCAACCTGAAATCATCTGTGCCCCGACTATTTTAAAGAACAAAGTTTCAAATCAAAGTAGCGTCTAGCTGAACGTGTCCATCTTCGTAGTTGTGTGCTTGCATGTGCTAGCACCCTCCTACCCCTGAGCAGCCTGTTAGACGGGGTTGGGCTGTGACCTCCCTTGATCTGCAAGGGCTCTGCGGGCTCCCGGTCACTCGTGGTTAAGCATCCTAATCAGCTCGGGCGCGGTACCTTCGCCGCCCACCTCACCCTTTGTTTCGACAGAATGCGCTGCAGTTCATCAAGCAGTACTGGAAGATGCATGGCCGCCCGCTCTTCCTCGTCCTCATCCGCGAGGACAACATCAGGTCGGTTGATGAACGAGGTGGGGGGCCCGCATCCCCCCGCCGTCAGCACGGCGGGCCTTTGGAGGCAGGGCCTCCCTGTGTCCCTTGGACGCCCCTCAGGCCGGCAGAGGGTTTTGCACAGGAAAGGACTTGAAGGACGAGACGGTTAATTTCTCCTTCTGTCATTAATGCGCATATTTTGTTTATCTGTTTGTATTTTTAGAGGTAGCCGGTTCAACCCCATATTAGATATGCTGGCAGCCTTTAAAAAAGGAATGGTTGGCGGAGTCAAGGTTCACGTCGATCGCCTGCAGGTAGCCTTCGGACTGCGCTTTTCTGTTGTCGGGGCGGTCAGTCTGGCTGAGCTCCTCAGTGTGCGGCTGTGTAAGGGTTTGGTCTTCAGGTTTCATCCTGCACCTGCCTCCTTGTCCCTGTCGTCGCCGTCCTGTTTACCTGGTCCTTCCACCCCGGTGCTTGCGTAATCGCTGGGATTCCCCAGCCAGAACTTGAAGCTTGAGAAGCTCGTCCCAGCCTCACAGTTGCACTGAGGAAGCGGGGCCCATGGCAGTGACACGCTGCTGCCTCACCTTGGGCTTGTGGGCGCAGGCGCGGGTCGCAAACCTGAAACCCTCTCCCCGTTGAGCAGTAGCCCCCACCTCCACGCTGAGCCTTGTCTTCTCTTTAGTGTTTATTTACTTTTTAAAAATCTCATAATGATTTTTTTAAAAATATTTTATTTATTTTTAGACAGAGGGGAAGGGAGGGAGAAAGAGAGGGAGAGAAACATCAACATGTGGTTGCCTCTTGCACGCCCCGTACTGGGCATCTGGCCCGCAACCCAGGCCTGGGCCCGGACTAGGCATTGAACCGGCGACCCTTTGGTTCACAGGCTGGCTCTGAATCCACTGAGCCGCACCAGCCAGGGCTGTCTTCCCTGTCATGAGTCAATGAAAATGGCCCCTGTGTGCTTCTCTTGGCTCTTAGTTCAAGCTCCCCCAGATTTCCTTAGCCCGTCGCTGGGGCCGGGCCTCCCATCCCAGCTGTGTCCCCGGGACCCCCTACACGTTCATTCGCAGCCCTGCTTCCCACTCCCATGCCCCACGCCCGCTACTTTCCACATCTCTGTGTGTGCTTGGGGCTTTTTCCTGCTCCTCCTGCGCCTGTATTCTAGAGCTGTCCAAAAGTAGGGCTCTATCCAAGCCCTACTTTAATTTTATAACTTAGGGCGATGTCACCTCGTTAGGGAAGTCTCCAGGAGTGGAATGAATTTCTTCGCCCGGTGTGCCCCTGTGGCACTTGGCTCAAGCCTTTGCTGTGGCTCTCATCCTAGGCGCAGTGGGTTTCTCGCGCCTGCCTCTCTGTGGACCACACGCTCTGTCTGGCCGAGCGGACTCACGCCCACCCTCACTGACAGCGCTCTGCTCACTACCAGCCTCCCTGTAGGGAACCGGCAAATACTGGCTCTTTGATTCAACACATATTTACCGCGCTCCCTCACCAGGCACTGGAGGTGTCGTGGTGAGAAAACACACCAGGCCCCTGCCCTCCTGGGATGGCGTCCCGTGGCGGAGCCGAAGGGAGAGCGTGGGCTCGTGGGGCGACGCGGGGAGCCCCGTCTTCGGAGGGGTGTTCTGTTGCAAAGGACCCAGTAGGATAGAGCTATCCCAGTAGGATATCATGGAGCAGGAGATGTTTTCTGAATATCATGTTGCAGTTGACACATAGATAGCAATGGTTATTTGATTCCCATCACTAAGGTATTAATGTCTGGCAAATTAATTATAATGATTTTTATAAAATACATGAACCTCTACAACCAACTGAATTTTTTAATTAAGAGCTCTAGAGACTATTAATGGAATGTAGTATTTGCCTATTAACTCCAATTCAACATTTATTTTGTGGGCTAAATTAGTATCTAAATATTAAATCAAAATTAATTTTCGTATGTTTTCAGTATTCGTTACCAGCTTGGAGAATTAATTAATTCTTGACTCTTCTTTTCCTTCATATCTGCCTCACAATCCGGTATCACACTGGTTTTCCCGCTCTCAGCCCAGAGTCAGGCCAGGCCCCTCGCCTCCGCCTGGCCCCTGGGTCAGTGGCCCTTGCCTCCCGCCCGCCTATTTAACATTTTCATAGGTAATGAATTTTATCTCAGCCTAAAAATAACCACCAGTCTGAGAGCAGCGAGGAAGGGCCATTCGCCTCCTGGGACGGACGTCCTTGTTTGTCACGGCCCCTGCGCTCGCAGCATGGGGTCTGCGCACCAGGTCAGGGGTGCTGTCGGGCGGCAACACCGTCTGAGTTCCGAACACCCGTTTAAGAAATGGCGTGAGAGTCGCACATGTTTAGGTGGGCTCTCTGTTGAAGAGTCGCCATGTTCACAGCAGAGTGAGCACGCGGCTGCGGGCTCGGCGCGGCTGCGGGGCTCAGAGCGGGGCCCTCTCCGTCCCATTGCAGACGCTGATCTCTGGGGCTGTGGTGGAGCAGCTGGACTTCCTGCGCATCAGCAGTACGGAAGAGTGAGTTCCTGTGGGCGGCCGCTGTGTCTTGTCAGGTCCCATGTGAAGTGCAGGCAATCTGGAACTTTCTCGCTTGGTTTCCAGGCTTCCTGAATTTAAGAGTTTCGAGGAACTGGCGCTTCCCAAACATTCAAAAGTCAAACGACAAAGCAGCGCCTCCAACTCTCCTGAGCTGGAGCGGCCACCGGAAGTTACTGTTGCCGAGTGGAAAAACAGACCCACCCAGGACATCCTGCAGAAGCTGCAGGTAAGGCGGGTGCCCCCGGGGGGCCTGCGGGAGGCCGGCGGGGGGTGGGGGGTGCTTCTGATGAGCCCTCGTAAGCAGCCTGGTGACAGGGGCCTGTGTGCGCTCGGGCGGGGCTGCGAGGCGGCTCGCGGCTGTCAGCGCAGGTGTCTCGCAGGTGCTCCGGGGTGGGGTGAATTGGGTTTGGCTGAGTGCGAAGGCGTCCTACCAGCCACTGCAGGAGTTAGGTGAGTGGTACTGCCTGCGGGACCCCCAGGTTTCTCCCCAGGGCCCTGCCTTCCTCTGACGGTGATCTTCTCCCTTGCGCCAGCATTTAGGACTAGGGCTGGCCTTCTGTCTCCCGTGGCTGAGGAAAGCAACCCTATAACCACACTGAGGTTACATCAGCAACCTAAAATGCTACCGTCCCTCAGGGTATTTGCATTTTAAAAGAGGGGGTGCAGTTAGAGGGCAGTGCCCATCCACGGAAGTGAACTTGACGGGGGACTGCAAATGCCCTGACGCTCGTCGGCCCATGAAAATGTGAGCCTCTGCGCCCCATGGACATCCTGCCAGACAGCGTCACTCCTCGTCACTGACCGGCGTGAGCCTGTGATGCTCTGTGGGGCCACGAGCACGGGGCGCGTCCCCCTCCTCGTGTCCCTCGTCCCTCCTCGTGTCCCTCGTCCCTCCTCGCGCACATTTCCCCACGGCAGCTTGAGAGCAGCAGGGTCTCCCGCTGCTGAATGAGCCGCGTCAGGGCGGCAGTGGTTGAAGGATCGGGCCGGGTCCCTCAGCGAGCGGCAGAACGAGCATTCGTGCCTGGAGATAACTTATTTTCCAACCGTGTTATCTCCTTTCCTAAAAAACTTGATTATTGACTCCTAGTTCCCCAGGGAGCCGGCTTGTCTGCCATCTCTCTCCTAGATACCTACAACAGGTAGTTGCATTCTGTCACCTCCTGCTTGGGAGCCTGCTGGTGACGCTTCCGCTTTCCCCAGTTCGGTAGCAGTGCTTCCGCTCCGCCCCCTGTGGTTGCGCGCCGCGGTGCCCGCGCGGTGACTCCGGCGCCTGCGCGCTGCAGCCACCCCCTGCTCTTGCGCTTGCAGGACTGCGGCTGTCTGGCCAGCCAGGTCGTCCTGCTGGGCGTGCTGCTCCGAAGAGAGGGCCCCGACTTCATCACGAAGGACGGTAAGGGCCTGTGCCTGAGACCTTCCCCGAACAGCAGGACTGCTCTGTTGTCAGACATGCACCAAATAGCCATACGAATACCCACCAAAATGTTACAAGTTTTTTTCTCCACCGTTAAGTCTTTTTTAAAAACGTTCGGGTGTAAGAGACTGCGTGACAAGCGCACTCCTGCGTCACTTAGGGTTGCTTCTCTGCTTGTCTGAGTGGCCTTGGCGCTGGGATTCTGTCGGGGACACGTCACCTCTCATGACCCCATAGCTGTTTACAGACCATTTCTCTCTCCGGTTTTATTTTCTGTGCGTTTCCAAGAATAGTACCGAATTGTTACGGCTGTAAAAATCAGCTGCCTTGCGGTCAGCAGCAGCCCCTGGGGGCGTGGCACGCGATGGGACTGTGCTCTACAGGCTGTGCACAGGGACACCTCACAGGGACACATCGCTTCTCATCACGCCCGCGTGTGCTCCGCACCCGTGATGAGGCCCAGTCGCCCCCGAAATCCACGTGCCTCTGTTGAGTCGCTACTTGAGAGAATCACTGAATTCGCCATCGGGGTCCGCTTCTGGCGTTTTCTAATACATGGGGTGCATTTTGAGTATCACGGCCAAGCCACTCAAAGGTTCTTGGCTCATCTGAAAGTCCTCTGTCCAGAGAGGCATGGACATTTGGTTAGAAATGGAAATGGAGTCAGTATTGTAAGCATCAGTGTAGTTACGAGGATGGATGGTTTTGGTAGTGAACTAAACGTGATGACTTATTCAAATAATGTCTATTTAGTTTTTACGTTTTCATAGCTAAGAGATAATCTTCAGTATTACATATGTGAATTGAATAATCTTCATTTTCTTAACTAAAGGAAGAAGAACTTTAAGTAAATTTCAAACAGAATCCTTCGTTTCTAATTAGCCTTGAAACTATAAATATAAGCGGAACCCTAATAATAGTGAGGACATTCATTGGGGTTTAAACTTTAAAACAATAGGATTTCAAAAAAAGCAAACGTTTTATTGGGAACCTAGATTTCAGGACAGTTATTTCAGCAGTGCTTTAAAATAAAAGAATATATATGTAAAACAGTTTGTAATCAAAATGCGGGGGGAATAATTTTTAAACCATTTTTGTAAACTTGGGAGTAATACCTATCTTCTACGTAGGTATTTGAAAGAGTTTAAGTATTTTAAATCCGGAAAACTGTATGATGCACTGAAAGCCACGAGCACCCAAACTGTTATAAAGCTACAAACATAAGTTCAGGGCACAATGAAAACCTTGTTCTTTACCCTTGGCTCCTCTTTGGCGCTCTGTCCTGTGACGTGGGCACTTTATCGACACATGCGGTGCGAGGCCGGAGACCGGGTGAGTGCGGCGCCACGGGGCTCCGTGAGCAACGGCCTGTGCTGACTGCGGCTGCCCGGCCCCGCCCCGCCCGCCGTGTGAGCAAAAGGAAGAAGCAAGTGCGTTCAGCATCCACAGCACCGCTCAATGGGCTATATTCTGTTTTCTATTTTCTGCAATAAATTAAAAAATTTTATTTGTTAAAAACTTAGATTGCCTATTAAGAAAACAGTAAATTGGTAGGAAAAAAGTACTCGCTAAAATCATGTATTCAAACTACATAGTAAGAAGAGTAGGTACATATATACTATATATTCGGGTTACACATTTAAAACATCAGGACATTAGTGGATGTGAATGTACCATCTGTAGTGGGACAAAATGAAAATTCAAGAGAGAGTGATTTTTTTTTAAAGGAGAATAAATGTCATGCATTTAACGGAAAGCTCTTTTCAACAAAGACTCTCTTATCCGGTGTCTAGGTACCGTTTCTGACCACATCGAGAGAGTCTATAGAAAAGCTGGCAGCAAAAAGCTTTGGTTTGTATGAGTGTCCTTGTCATTTTGTTTTATTTTTTGTGTTGTCATAGTCAGTACCTAAAGATCATGGGCCGATCTTAAAGAGGGCTGTTCATCGTTATTCTTTTCAACTCCCAAGATATTAAAAAACAAAAAAAGTGTCTGGGAATAAAGCCCCCCAGAGGAAGAGACTCTGGTAGTGACTCTCGGATGACCGGGCCCAGCCCCTCCGTCCCAGGAAGGGCCCAGGTTGTGCGGGGTCGGGGTGGGGGGCCTGCTCTGCCAGCACGGGCTGCCGCGCGCAGACCCGGGGCGTCGTTCACTGTGGGCACGAGGACCTAGAAGGCTTCCCTCTCGCCACTTAGACTGAGTAAATCCCAGGGGTTGTAGTTGCTTCCTGAAGAAATAGCTCATATGCTTCGCAGAGGTAGCCTCCCCCCGGGGGCTGGAACAAGGAGGAGGTAAGCTGAAGTACAGCCGTTGAAATCCACAGTGGGGAGGCGTCCCCATGCATGGCTCTCTGCATTTCGGAGCAGCTCTAACAGTCTTACTAGCAGAGTCTAACATTTTCAAAGTAAGAGTGTCTGTATATTTTTAGATGACCCATTATGTTCTAATTTTGAAAAAAAGTCTCAAGAACTGTAAGAAACTCCTTTAATCCAAGTGAGCCTCATGTTTCTAACCTCTAAAATAAGAGTATTGGTAAAACAACCTGTTGGCGGCATTCCAACTCTATGATTATACTAAGTATACCGCTCCAGCCCAGAAGAAGTCAGGTAATAATCCTGTGGTTAGGTCTCAAACGTTCACAGGGAATTCGCAGCGCAGCAAGGCGTGCAAGCTGGCAGATGTTGCTTTATAGCCAGCAAGGGTCAAACGTGGTCCACAGTCTTCTCTCTGGCTAAGCAAGCCTGTGTTTGCTCTACGTGTTACACTTGCATTTTAGATAAATCGTTAACCAGCAGACATTGACTGTGCTGACTATTGTGTTTAAAGGAACAAACGCCTGGAAGTCTTATTTACTCTATTTTCCCTTTTATGGCTTCACCCTGACACCCCAGGCTGGCGGTGCGCTACGGGGCTGCATTTACCCAGAAATTTTCTTCCTCCATAGCCCCGCACATAACTACCTTACTGGTCCATGGGAAGCAGGTAACGTGCACGCGGCGTGCGGACCTCGGAGCTTCTTGACATGCGGGGGCTGGTTTGCATTCTAAGGGCTCAACAAAGCTGCTTACAGTGTGCGGTTAAAGGCTTTTCTAAAAGCAGGAAGTGTCTGTTTCACTAACTCTGTCAGTTACTGACCTAATTTTTACTATTCCATCTATATTGAGATTGAGGAATAGAAATGCTTTTTATAGGTCAGCTCTCAAAAATACCCTGAAATTCCCACAAGGAAATGGTGTTAAACCTACATTTTAATTTTATTTTTTCATCTAAACATTCCAGATGAATTTTCACTTTTGAGAGGAAGAAGGGTCTCATGTATTGCATGTGCTGCGCTTAAAAAAAATCTGTTCTCCTTACAGTCTAAAACTTTTCCGAAAGAGTAAAAATAGCAGTGTGAATTCCTTCCTCCAACATCCTGCCTTTATCCAGAAAGAAAAGTGCTGGCTATAGAAAATTTCACTCTATCATTTCCTAGAGTTCAGTGCTGAGTCCCGCTCCGCAGGGATTTGGCATTGGGGGCACAAAAGAAACAAGGTTTGGAGCGGTTACAGGGACGAGGGCCTGCGGTGGGGGTCGGCGGCAGGACAGGTTTAGCGGTGAACATTGCAGTGCAAACCAACGCTCTCTGAATTCCTCCTGCTCCCCCACGCCCCCTCAGAGAGAGTTCGGCCCCCTTCCCTCCTGTCACCGTGATGGCACAGGTGATGCTGTGGCAGAGGTGGGGTGGGGTTAGGGACGCCTGGGGCCGGCCCTGCGGTCCAGGAAGTGGCGGCTGTTAGGGCCGATGTTGGGCTCAGTGTTCCTCCAGGTTATTAGGCGAGGACCTCGTCGTGCATATTCTTCAGTGCCCCCCGCCCCCCACCCGCACCAAGGGGCCCCTCTCTTTCCTCTCACAGACTTGTGAACCTCTGGCCTGCTCTCTTCTTGCCCGCAGGTCGGTTGTGCGCCACGCGGCAAGTCTTTTAAGTAAAGTGGTGGACAGCCTGGCCCCGTCCATTACTAATGTGTTAGTGCAGGGCAAGCAGGTAAGTCTCCCGCGCTCAGACCCGCGCTCGGTCCCACTCCCGAAAGCTCCTGGCAGGATCCTCGTCTAAAACCAACAAGCTCGGTGGTGTAGGTCTCTCACGGCCCCATTAACGTAGCTCAGGCCTGTCAACGAAAGGTCTCTTCCCCAAGCGGAATCTCGCCTGAGATTCGCAGGTGCGGTCTTTCCCTTGTCCTGCTGCGCCTCGGGCTGCGGTGTCCGCCCTGCGCCGACACGAGGCCCACGAAGACGGGAAGCGGGAGAAGCTGGGACCCGGCGGAAGCGCCCGCCCAGGTGCAGGTGCAGGTGTAGGGCAGGTGGGCAGAGGCGGCGAACAGCCGAGGGCTCCTTTCCCTCTTCCCTCACGGGGGAGTCTCCTCGCAGGGACCTGCGGCCTCCAGGGCCGCCGGTCCCCTCCCCCCGGGCCAGCTCTGTCGGCCTCTCCCCGCAGCGCCCGCTCCCATTAGTGGTACCTCCCTGAGGTCTCACGACAGGCGCGTGGCCCTTCTCACCAGCTGCCCCGGATCCCAGCTCGTAGGAAGCCTGTCTCCCAGCCGGTGGTAGCCGGTGGGCCCAGGAGGGCGGGCTGGGTCCTGTCCTGCGCCGGGCGGCGCACGGGCCGGGCTGAGCCTGCGCATGCGCTGCTGTGCGGTGGGCCGCGGCTGCTGGCCTCGTGTTTGTCTTCTCTGTGCTCCGACGGCCTGGCTGAGTCGTCATTTGGTGGCCTGAAAACGTGTTTGCCTGCGTTCTCTCCTTGGGGACTAGGTGTGCTTTGCTGTGTTTCCCTGGAGGTTGCCCCGGCCCGTAGAAGCTTCAGTGTGATGAGGGCTGGAGCTCCGTCAGGAAACCGACCGGGCGCTCGTGCCCCAGGCCGGTTCCCGCAGCGTGAGTGAAGCCATTCCGCGCTGGGCCCAGCTTTGGAATGTTGCAGTCGGTTGTAATGTTCTCCTGTAACATTTAATACCAATGAGAAAACGGGAGTAGTAATAAGAGAACTCCTGAAAAGAAGTTAAATCACTTTTCACGTTCTTTTTTTCTGTTTTCTCCACATCATTAAGAGGCAGAATTTCTGTCCCCATTTGCCCAGGAAGTGGCCTGCCCGGGGCCTGCCTCGCCTGCCCTGACCTCCAGCCAGAGTCTGGGCTGTCGCCCGGGGCTGAGCCCCTTCTCAAAGAAAGGGAACAGGCTTTGGGAATCCATTTCCCCTGGGGCTTTAGGCCCCGTACTGCATCTTAAAATACAGTTTAATTTCACCACGGGAGCATATGAGAAGGTTTTAGGGATCTTTGAGGCTGCAAGTACCTGACACTTGGGGAGAGGCCGGCTTAGAGAGGGTCACGCCTACTCTGCGCAGTGTGTGAGGTGGCCTGCAGCCTGTGATCTGACACCCTGCTCCCCACGTCCTGGAAGCCTTGAGACTGTCCGGAGGCTGTGGCTGGTCCACTGCCCGTCGGACCAGTGCATGTCCCAAGGAAGCAGTCCCGTTCAGAGCTGTGTGAGCCTGGGTGGCTGACCGCTCCGCTTCAGGGGCATGAAGTCCACTCATTGACCGCATCTTACGCTTTCACACTAGAGACACGAGCATGGAGCATGCCAGGTTTGCACCCGCTCATTTCTGAGAACTGAAATGGTATTTCTACAAAGCGCTTTCCGGTCACCTTGAGCTGTCCGGAATGAAACAGGATTTAGTCGTCCCCCCTGGAGGCACCAATGTGCCTTCCATTTCTTTTCTTCTTCACGCACTGACCTCTTAATAAACGTCCTCGCGCTTGGACCAACTGGTCGGTACCACTGGGGATGCAATAAAGCAGCAGTTCTCAAATTTCATCCATCACAAAATTGGGGCGAGAGGCCCTCCGTGCTGCCCCCTCCCTCATCCCTTCAAACCCAGGGCCCTGTGCTCTTCCTGCCCCTCCATCACCAAGCCCCAAGGAGCACTGGAGGCGGAGGGAGCTGGGGGAGGCCCGCAGACCCTTCGGTGGCACCCAGGCCCCCACAAGAGACTCCCCTAGCCAGCCTCAGCAGCACTTTTTGCTTTGAGCTTTTGCCGCCAGTCCCCTGTGCCGTCTGGTCTCCCATCGTGTGGGGAGCCTGGCTGGCACCCGTCTGCAAGAGAGAGGTGCCGACAAGTATGTTTGAGCTCACGAGGCTCCCGGTACTGCAGGACGACGCCAGAGCTGGGCGCCCTCGTCCTTGACCTTGAAAAGGCTGCAGTGGCGTTAAAGAGCAAAAAGTTCCACGTGAGCAACTGTAGAGGCGGTGAAAGACATACTCTCAAGTGTTAAGTTGTAGACTGGGCAGTAAAGTAAAGCTATTGGATGTGCTCTGCTGTCTCGGGGGACCTTCCAGTGCTGCGGTCATTCAGAATCATTTTATCTTAATAGTTAGTTACGCTCCCTCTCTGCTGTTAGCCACCCGCCCCCGCTTCCCGAACTGGGCGCCTCACCTGCCCTTAGGCTTCAGACCGGGCTAAGCGCCGTCATGAAGTCTGGGGGGAATCATGCTTTGAAAGTTATTTTAATAAAAAGCAAGGGCAGCTATTCTACCTAATTCCCTAGCTCGCGCAGAGTAATTTCTGCCTGCCAGTCATCCTGAGCCCTGAATTTTTTTTTCTTTTATCTTTTAGCAGCTAGATTTTTATAATAAAACTCTGCCACTTCTAGGTAACCCTGGGAGCCTTTGGGCACGAAGAAGAGGTGATCTCGAACCCGCTGTCTCCGAGAGTGATTAAGAACATCATCTATTACAAGTGCAACACCCACGACGAGAGGGAGGCGGTCATCCAGCAGGAGCTGGTCATCCACATTGGCTGGATCATCTCCAATAATCCCGAGCTGTTCAGCGGCATGCTCAAAATACGCGTGGGGTGAGGGGGGGGGGGGGGCCGCGCGTGCGTCGGGAGAGCTGCAGGAGGGTCCTGTGCAGGCAAGGGCCGCGCTGCCAAGAGCCGCAGAGGCGGCCCCTTGCGCCGTGTGAAATAAACGCCGGTGGCCGGGAAGGGGCCTCCTGTGGGCTTCACTCCCACGTTGGACATGGTGAAGTGCCCGGTTCCCTGGTGAATCAGACTCCAGCCGCTGAAACGGCTGCGTCATGTGAAAAACAGAACCAGAAACACGGAGCATGATGCTTCTAAAAATTCCTGTAAACAGAATGGATGAGCCTTAAGAGGAGAGCGATTTTCAGTTAAATTCAGTGGCAGGAGGACACACTCTGATAACCATTCGGCCCTTTAAACATGTTCTGCTGCATCTATTTTCTACCAAAATCGATTTTTTTAAAAAAAGATTTTATTTATTTGTTTTTAGAGAGGGGAAAGGAAGGACAGAGGGAGAGAAACATCCATGTGTGGTTGCACCCCCTGCTGGGGACCTGGCCCGCAACCCAAGCCTGTGCTCTGACTGGGAATCTAACCAGCAACGCTTTGATTCACAGGCCGGCATTCAGTCCACTGAGCTCCACCAGCCAGGGCCCAAATTGAATTTTAATCATAAAAATCCTAAGCATTCTGTTTGGAAAAGAAGCTTTCCTGGTGGCCTCCAGGCGTTCTCAGAATTCCGTGAGGCAGCAGCGTGGGGCGGCGGGGGGCCAGGTGGTAGCCTTCGGCAGGGCTGCGTTCAGTCCTGACAGCCCTTCACCGCCCCACTGACCTGGGGCTGCGACCGCCCCTCCGCCCCCGCCCGCCCTCCCCGGCCCTCCCCTCATAGCTGCCTCACTTTATGTGACAAGAAATGAATAGTATTTAAAAGGTCCGTCACAACCAAATGCGGTATAAATGCTACTGTTCTTTTTTAAGATACATTTTTGGTTGTGCAAGTGTCAGGTGAGTATGTTCTCATTGTAAGGGTCGGAGGATGGCCGAGCGTGCCGTGTGGCCAGTCTGGGGTGTCCTCGCGGCGGGGGCGGGGGGAGCGTGTGCTCTCGGTCAGGCACCGCGGTGGTGGGCGTGTGCGGGCTCGCTCGGCGTGATCCGTCTGCATCTTTCCTGTCTCCTCTCCTTGACCTGTGATTGCCGATCAGTGTCTTCGAGTTTTCTCCTCGTGATGCGGGATTGCTCAGTTTCCCCTGCCTGCTTCTCAGTTTCACTTTACATGCAGTACCTTTCAAAGCGTTGTTTTTGTCCCTGTTACTTTATAGTTTTTATCACCACAGCTTCCCTTGTGTCATTTATTGCTGCTTTTCAACTTGAATTCTTAGAAAAAAGATTTTTTTTTCCTAACGTCGAACATCTGCAGTCACGTAGGGGATAGTATAACACAGCCCCGAGTGCCTAGACTGTCACCCAGCTTCCAAGGTGCCGTCCGCTGGCCAGTCTTCGTCCTTTCCGACCCTGCCTGCTGCCCTGCCACATTTAAAGTACATCGTCACGTTGCTTAATCTGTAACTACTGCGTTGGGCAGCTCTAAGAGTTAAGGACGTCTTAAAACTGCGAGCACAGTTCCCATTACAATGCATGAAATGTAACAGTTGAACTATTTTCCATCCAATCTTACTGCCCAGCCTGTTTTCTTTTTTCCGTCATCGTTAGCTTGGTATATACTATTTTCCATCCCTTCACCTTCTGTGCTCCTTTTTCATTTTGTACACACTTCTCTTTTGCATTTAGTATTTGGGCTGTATTCACTCTTAGTCTGATCTGAGGTCATCTTTTGGTAGAAATATGTCTTTCATATTTGTGCCATTTAAAAAATATTTTGACTTACCCTGACATTTTATGTTGTTTTCTATTTATCATGGTTCCTTGTTGTTACTTTTTCTCTTCATTTTTGTTGGGTTTAGTTCCCTTTTGCTTCTTAGTTTTAATTTTGCACATGAGGAGGTAGCTTTTCATGAAAAATGATTACCCATTTTTCCTTTTTAAAATTACATATAAAAAACTAGTTGCTTAGTGGACAGTATCTATATACCTCTTATTTCAACAATTTTCATCTTAGAAATGTACACATTTTACAGAAGTCTTCATTTCAGCAGTGTTTAAAATAGTGAAATACTGGAAACAGCCCAGATATCTGTCAGTAGGAAATAGTTTAAGTAAATTGTTACAGCCATACCGTAAAATGCTGTGTGGCCATTCCAAGTGATAAGATGAAATCTGTATACTGACATTTATGTGTCCAAGATAAGTGAAACAGTAAGTTATAAATATATTGTTCTACTTTTTATAAAAGAATAATAATACTGTACATATATGTAATGTAAGTGTGAGAAATATCTGAAAAATACACATAAAATTGGTGTCAGTTATTTTCTCTAGGATATTTCTACTTTGTAAGTGATATTGTCCAGTTTTATTTAAAATTCTTTAGTTGAAGGTATTTTACAGAGTACTTACCTGACCTCAATTATAGTTTATTTCACGTGAATTTTTCATTCTTTATCTCTTTTTTTCTTCTGATCAAGAAGTGAATTTACTCTGCATTGATGTTAACCTTCACTTTTATTCCTTAAAACTATTCCTTTCAAATATTGAGAAATATTATGAATCAATTATGAGCTCTTTGAATCATACTCTAATTCATTCAATCTCTGCTTTAATGTTTTCAGCCCCAGTCCTTCACTGCATTTGATGGTACAGAGATGGGTCTTTCATGTGAGTTGTCTTTCAGTGAAATGTGATTCTCAGTATCTGCACAGGCGGTAAAGGGACTGCCTCACCCCACTGGGGCGTTTCTTTGGGCCTGGCTGAGCAGTGGGTTATAACTCGTCCAGAGCACATTCTTGAAAACACATGTCTGTTCGGGAGCGCCTCTCTCTGGGGTGCACCCCCTGCAGAGGCACCCACAAAGCCTCCAAATCCCAGTTACCAGGCTACCAGGATTTCACAATGCTGGTTTTGTTTTTAACCTCTGTTAGTTTTTCCTTTAGTGCTTATCCAGCATTTTGGGCTAATTTATGTTTCTTCAAAACTCCAATGTTTATTTCCTTTTTTGAATATGAATCTGACCTGAAACTTTTTTCTCTTTGTCTAGATTATTCTAAAAATAGTTTTCTTCCTGATTTGGCATCAGATACTCTATATGTTCAGTGCCTTCCATGACAAATATCTTTTTTTTCCCTTCAACTGTGTCACCCCAAATAAAAATGTCAGGAAACGGCATGTGACTTAATATTTAGTGATAGCAAAAAACCTCCTAATGAAGAAGCTTGCCACAATGCTTTAATTATTCACCGCCCCGAACTCATCCGGGACTTGCTTGGGGTATTGTATTCCCACTGTGCATGGTCCTGGGGCCCCTGGCCAACTCACGGTGTGTTTTTCTCTCACGTGGGACTCACAGGGTCAGCCGCAAACCCTGGGGCATTTGCGGTTGAAGAGCAATCTCATTTTTTCGTAAGGAGTAATTTGTTTAAGGAATTTACATCTGCCAAAGATAGGGACTAAGCCTTCTCTTCCTGTGTCAAGGTCTAGCTCATAGGAGATGCTCAGGAAAGGTGATAGATTATTTAATATCTAGGTGATAAGCAGGCGCAGGGAGCTTGCTTTGAGCTAGTGATGGTGAATTTAAGAAAAACGAAAGCCAGCTTGTCTCTGCTCTCATCAAAGAAATAAGGCTTCGGAGCCCTGGTTCTCCCCCGGGGGTGTCGGAGCATGGTGGCTTCCCTGTCTGTGGGCTGGTGACAGTGCCCACCCAGAAGGGAAACAGACACTGTGTACTTGTTTCGTAGACAGCCTACTGTGCTTGTCCTCGACGAGTTTCACATGGCCGTTGCTCCTGCAGTGGACGGCGCCCTGCCCGTCGGCTCACTGATGGCAACAAACACGTTTCTTCACAGAACTCACCTTCAGTTAATCCTGGGGTGGTTTGAGTTTGCTTAAAATTGGTGAATGAATTATTTTTCAGAGTCCTTGAAGGTCAAATTTCTTATAAAATGTTGAACTTGTTGCTCTTCTAAGTCACCCCTTGGTATTATAGTGATTGCAGCATGATTTTAAAACAAAGCGGGATTTAGGGGGTAGGGGAGGATTTGTAGACTATACGAGGTCTGTCCAGAAGGTATCCAGCCATGTACTATGAAAAATAGAGACATTTATTGAAGAAAATACAAGATACAAGACACATTGCACACAGGACAATGACGCCTCAGTCCCCTTCAAAGTAGGCCCCTTGGGCCCTCACACAATTCTCCCAGTCGCCATCAGCTGCCCTGTTGTATTTTCCTGAATCTCATCGATGGCCTGAAATCTCTTCCCTTTCAAAGGTGATTTTAGTTTTTGGAAAAACCAAAAGTCACAGGGCACCAAATCTGGTTTGTAGTGGGGCTGAGTCGTCTGGATGATTTGATATTTTGCCAAAAAACTGCATGAGACATGATGCACGTGCGGGACACGTTGTCGCGATGAAGCTGCCAATCACCCGTTGCCCACGGCTGCAGCCTTCTGCATCATCTAGTAGTTTCCCCAGAGGAATGTTCAAGCTTAACACAAAAGTTGATGGAGATTTGCTGTTCTGCTCGCTCAGTCATTTTGAATGCGATGGCCACACAGTGCACACGCTCACGCAACAAGTGTCTACCGCCCCCACGGACTAGCACAGTGAAGTCATCGTTCATGCCTGTGCATTCCAGTCCACTCTCCTTGGCTGCCAGGTTACGTTGACGTCTCTCACACCGTTCTTGCTACCCTAACAAGGGCTGGACTGCTTCCAGACAGACCTTATGTTCTTTTTCAGTCAACTTCCTTAAGTTAATTAAAGCTTTCAAGCTCATTTATATGACTTTTTACTATTGTTTCTGTTTAAATGTTGATTATGATTAAAGAGATGGATAGTGCGGTCAGCTTTTAGCACCATATTCCTCCTGAAATGCCAAAGTGCACAGGGCCGGACGGACGTAAGACAGGAGGACGTTCGTGGCAGTCGTGGCGCCTCCCACTTGGACCCCCGCACCGTGCGCACTTCCACTTGTCTGCTTCAGCCCCTGTCTCCCAGGTTCTGGGGTTTTTACATTTATTTGCGCCCCCCGCCCCCGCCTCAGTAGCTCAATACCACCGTGTTTCTTTTCTCTTTCCTCCAAGGCTAGCCATGCCAGTGCGGCCTCTTCCAGTTCACGGCTATCAGACACTCCAGGGAGCAAAATTAACCTGTTCACGGGAATGGTATTCTAGTCTGATAAAGATTTGATTTGCTGTCGTGCTATTGATCGGTGCTCAGCTTTTAGGCTGCGATAGATCAAGTTCCTGACAGGCCCATTACTGTGCGACGGCGACCACGGCGCTCAGCCCGGGCGGCCCCCGCCTGGGAGAGCGCGGCGCGGTGGGTCCTCGGCCTGCGGCCTCCTCGGGCCTGCGCCCGGTCGACGCCCGCCGTGCAGCGACGGGCAGCGAGGGAGGCGGACGGTGCCGCGCCTGTCTGCGTCCTGGCAGGGTCGGGTCGGGTACGGCGGTGAGTCCCGGGCTCCGGCGAGCAGACAGGACGCTCGGTTTGCCTTTTCAGCCGTCGCCCTCTCCGTGTTCTGCGTCGGGATAGAGGCCCCTCGGCGGCCTTCCCGGGTACCGTCGCGGGGTGCGCGGGTGCCCGTACCGTCATCCGGTCGCGGTCCAGGGCAGGCTCGGCCGTGACTTCCTGGCGTCGGGAAGTAGCTTCGGAGCAATGGCTAAACAGCTGTCTCGCTGTGGGGCGGCGAGGTCTTTGCAGCATCTGGCTTCCTTGGAAAAGGCCGGCCCTCCGGCTCTCCGGGCCGGCAGGTTTCAGTGCACCTCCCCCTCTCTCTGCGCAGGGCACGTCAGGAGGAAACCGCCGGCCGCGCCAGGTGCGGTGCCCTCCCCCCTGCTTCTGGGGAAGGAGCGGCCCCCACCCCCACCCGCCCCAGGGCTGCGTGGGTGGGGTGCGGGCATCCGACCAGACCTCTTGTCCCCTACGGAGGCGGACAGGGCGGTCTTGGGGGTCTGCCGCTCTCCTGCTTGCCTGAGGCCCATTGAGCTCGTCGCTGCTTTTTTAAGCAGAGGGAACGTGGACAGGCCTGGCCTTCCCCGTGTGCTGCTTCCTTTCCCGCTTGGCTCTCAGTGCGTTTGCACGGTGTGGCCGGATGGGATTTGGTGACTGCTGGCGGGAAGCAGGGGAAGGAGTCCCTTTCCCCTGCGGAGAAAGGCACGCATGCCCTTCTGTGTTAGTAGTTCTGGAAATGGCTTCAAAGGCTTTGATGTGCCCATTAGTCGGTAATTTACTTTACGCCTCCTAGTGCTGGATAGTGGTGGCTTCCGTCTAAGGCTGTTTTTCTTTTAGCCTTTTCAAGAATTCCACGCCAAAAAGATTGGTTTGACCGATATTTTTAAATGAGTAAATGTGTTGCAATAATCTAACAGATAAGTTATATTCATTTGTGCTCAAATGAATGAGAAATACCCACCTTCTTTCTTCTGTGGCTGGAGTACAATGTTTTCTATAATTTGCTCACACAACTGCTGAGATTCTGTGAACAGAAGGAAGAAGCCTGGGGGGAAATTTTTAGATCTCCAACTATCTTTGTTTACGGTAGTGAAGATTTTAAAAGGTAAATGTGATAGACTGTGTTTAGTTGTAATAGCTCAAATTTTTGCAAGACTTCAAAAAGGATTTTTAAAATAAAGTTGTTTTAGAAGAGGATAGCTCCTGAATTTAAATGGAGTAGCATGCACTTAAGTAATTCCAAGACATAAATTAAAAGTTTGAATTACCTTTTTTCATCGTGAGTCTAAAAATCAAATACGAAGAGGTTGACAACATTTTTATGACTCTATAATTTCCAAAACCTTTTAACATGCAGTGTCTTTTTTATTCCTCAAAATAATTCCATAAAGTGAATGGTACAAGTAATAATAATACTACCATTTGAAAAATAACTCGCCAGTGGGGGCACAGTCGGTAAATGACCAAATTGATATTCAAGTCTGTCTTTATTGTTTTTGCTTTTCATTGTGAAATTTTTAAATATTTAATAGTAGAATGATTTGGCAAATCCCTATATAACCACTATTTAAATAGTGTGAGCAGTTGTTAGCAATTTACATTTGCCATGTTTGCTTCATCTTCTTTCTGTCGTATATTAGACAAGTCCCAGCCTCTTCCACTTCTGAATCTCAATATTGCAGTAAGTGCCTCTAAAGAAGGACATTTTCTTAACAATCACAATACTATTATCACACGCAACGAAATTAGTAATAGTTCCTTAATACCACCTAATATCTGATTCCAATTCAGATTTCTCTAGTTGTCCCCAGAATTACTGTTAAAAAAAAATCAGGACCCCAAGCCAGGCCCACCCGTGGTGCCAGCTGGGACCACACCTCAGTCAGGCCCAGCCCCGCTTCACGCCCTGGGGCCGTGGAGGAGGCTGCAGGCGGGGCTTCTGGTGTTGTAATTGGACGTTTTTTTCTGTTGTAGCTAAGCTGCCACAAATGTGAGTGTTTAATGTTAACCAAAGAAAGAAAGAAAACAATAAATAGGAGATAACTCTGCCTGACCTGTAAAATTAAAAATAGAATTTTTTTTTTTAAAGAGAGGTCCACAGAGCAGTTTTTTTTACCTGAAATGTGACTGTCACTGCTAATTTCATAGGCAACTTTAATATCAAAGCATCCAAAGTAACTATGTCCTCATGACAACATGTAGTTAATAATGATAAGGATGAACAAGTAAAGAGTTTCCAGTCTTTGGCAATAACACAGGCTTAGTCTAGTTTTCCTTTCCAGCTGATTGGAGGAGTACAGATTGTCAGACTCCGTTCTGCCGCACTCAGGCCCGTTTTGCCGCACACATCACAAACATTCATTCTGTTGTTTGTAAACGCTTTGCCATCTTTATTGTTCTTACCGATGAGCAGTGATTAACCGTGGATTATGTACTGTTGTTTAAACAATGGCCCATCCTTGTGTATCTCTGAAGCATCTCTGACCCCCGTGTTTTACTGCATGGTCTGCACCTCAGCGACAGGCTAATAAAGCCCTACCTCCCAGAAGCGGCGAGAGCAAAGGACGGGGCCGGGGGGAGGGGGGGGCGGGAGGAGGAGGGGCAGGGCGCCACTCGGTCAGAGGGCAGTGGGGCCGGGCCAGCCACGGAGCAGGGGCGCTTCGCCTTGTGGCCTGGGGCGCGGCCCAGCCGGGGAGGCTCTCCATTCTTCTCACTGCCGGTCCCCCTGGGAGACGCTGGTCATCCCGTGAGGGCGCCTTCCTGTGGTTCTGAAAACCAGCCTGGGCAGGAAGAAGGACTTGCATCTTTTGATTATTCCCACCAGGGTTTTCATCCCTGTACCTGCAGTGGCCTTGTGGTTGTCTCTCGGAAGTGTTTCAAGTGCGTGGCATATTTGGGCGTCGTGACTGAGCCGCTGCAGTCTTCGCCGCTGTGACTGGCGCATCTCCCCACGGACTGGGCCCCATGGCCCCGCCTTGGAAGACAGCGCGGCCGGGGTGAAGGGAAGCCCACTCTGTTCAGATGCCCAGCTGCACTCTCTGTTACCTGCTCAGTGTTCACAGGAGGGCCAGGGACAAGGCACAGGGAGTCGCTGTGTGAAACCAGGTCCCCAGCCTCCTGAATGGCGTGGGCCATTCGGTTCCCTGAGCCACGGTCTTATTGGCAGAGTTTCCTAGGTTTGCAAAGCTAGTTCACCTGCGTTCTCTCCTCAGGACACAGTGCCTGAGCAAAATGAAAAGCACCTATAAAGATGCTTCTTTAAAAGCTGCTTAATTAGCCCCGACTGGGTTGGGCATTGTCTTGCAAACCGGAAGGTCATAGGTTCGATTCCCTGCCAGAGCACATGCCTGGGTTTCAGGTTTGGTTCCCAGCTGAGAGTGTGGGAGAGACAACTGACAGATGCTTCTCTCTCATGTCAATGTTTCCCTCTGTTTCTCCCTCCCTTTCCCCTCTCAAATAATTTTTTTAAAAGCTTCTCAGATTAAAAAAATAAAATCACTCATGCGTAAAGTAATTCAATGTTTTAGGCATTTCCAGGCATAAAACTATACCACCTTGGAACACACCAGGCACACAAATAGTGCTCCATGAACACTTGCCTAAATAATTATATTAAAACTCTTTCTGTAATAAAAGTTATTTCATAAGTAGCATTTGAGTACCTATTAAAGAGTAGATATCCTTAAGAATAGGTACATGAACAACACTTAAATACCTGTATTTAAACATCTGTAAAGAAGATTCTTCTGAAATCTGTTGGTTAAAGTACATTCTCAAATATACTAGGTAAATTACAACTGTGTCCCTGTTTTTCAAAGGTTGATACTTTTGCGAGGTCCTCTCCAATCACAGAGAAATGAGAGCAAAGTAAATAGGTGAAAATGCTTGTCTTTCCTGGAAAAGGGACATTTGTGTAAGAGCGTAGTTCAGCCCTCTTCTGGAAATGACTCACTTTTATCCTATGTGGGTTTTGCATATGTCTCGTATGGAGAAAACAATAGTGTGGCAGTTCCTCTGTACAGGGCACTGTTGTGCCCAGCGGGTACGATGCTGTGTGGCGAGATCCCAAGCAGTGAACCTAGTCTCCTGTTGGCTGCCTGGCCACGCGCGCAAGAGCAGGCCTCGTGCGGGGGCCTGAGCTTGACACGGAGCCCTGCGTCGGGGATTACGTCAGTGGGTCCGGGGTGTCCCGTGGCCAGCCTTCACTTCCCGCCCCGTGGCTCGGTGCCACTAGGGGCCTTCCCGCCAGAAGCGCGGGGGGCTTCCCTCCCAGGGCTGCTGAGTCATGCATCCCCTTCTGTTGCAGGTGGATCATCCACGCCATGGAGTATGAGCTGCAGATCCGCGGCGGGGAGAAGGCGGCCGCGGACCTGTATCAGCTGTCGCCCAGCGAGGTCAAGCAGCTGCTGCTGGACATCCTCCAGCCTCAGCAGAACGGGAGGTAAAGAGGCCCCTGTGGCCTGCAGGGCCCTCGGTTTAGGGGAACCTCGAACTCGACATGCTCATGAAATAGGCACTAACGAGGAATACAGAGCCGTGAGGAGCAGGCGGACAGCGCGCCGCAGTGCTAATGAGAGCGCCTGGCTTTGGCTGGCTTCGGTGTCGATGTGAATTTTATACACTTCCCAGGTGTAGTTTATAGGCGTTTCTTAATTTTTATGGTCCTGTGCAGAACACAGCACTCACGCCGCTGTGGGCAGCCCCGTTCCGAGCCTCTGCAGGATCCCTGAACCTCTCCCCACCTGCTCCCGCCATCCTGGCCTCACGGTTTGCTTTGGGCCTGTTACCCAGCGTGGTGTTGCCTGTCCCGCCCTCCCCCCCAGGGGACTGTGACGCTCTTTGGGCTCAGCCCTTCCACAGGCTTGCCTTGAGCTGAAGTGAGAATAAGAGAAAAACAAATACTCGTGGATTGCATGGCATTGCAGAGCTTTCTTTTATAGCAGAAAAGGCTTTGATGTAATTATTTAAGCTGCTCCTGTCTTTTTCAAGGAAGCTGCTTTGGGTATTCAAGTCATGTAATCACATGGTAAGATTTTTAACCTTGTGACTTCTTAGTGAAGAACGTTTTGCTTGTTAAATTTTTTAAAATCTAGGGGTTTTCTCCTTTCCTGCGAGCTCTGCTTTCTCTATGAAATATTTAGCAGTCTCCGTGGCCTGTGCCGGGATACGCATCATCGATGGGTCTGGTGCTTCCTGCTCGCCCGAGTGGAATGGTCGGTCCACACGGAAAGCCTTGCTTTCCGCCAGGACGAGCTGCATATCCGCACTGAGGCCACCTCTTTGGTCCACAGGTGTTGGCTGAACAGGCGTCAGATCAACGGGTCTCTGAACCGGACGCCCCCGGGGTTCTACGACCGCGTGTGGCAGATCCTGGAGCGCACGCCCAACGGCCTCGTCGTGGCTGGGAAGCACCTGCCACAGGTACCGCCCGGTGCGCCCGTCAGGGCCGGCACTGCCCGGGGGCCGGGCGGCAGAGCCACCATCCCCTCTGCGCCACGGGGACGCCCGCGCGTTCCCTTTCCTCAGGGAGCCTCGCTGGGGCACTGAGACGTGGTCATACACAAGTAATGTTGAGAAGCATAACCTAAAAGCAAAATATCCACTTGGTAGAGCCAGGCTTTCTGTAGAGAGGGCACCACAGCTGAAAATAAAAGTAACTCAGATTGGAAAAATAATACCTCCAGCCCCATTGATTAGACTTATATTCTAGTGTTTGCTCCCTTCAGGTACCCGGACACCCCTCCCCTAAATGCTTGTAGAAAATGGAACATCTACAACATGTTGGTTTGTACTGAATGCAGAACACAGTAGAGGGACCACGCTGAATATAGGGACGAGGCCTTATTATAGCAGGTGGAGTGACTTTGCTCTTGTTTGATGGAGACCCTCCCCCGTCCCCTCGGGGGCTGGAGGCCGATCACATTGTCCTGAGGCTCCGATGGCCCCTCCTTGTAAACTTCCCTGAGGGCCAAGCTCGCAAGTGGGACTCACCACTCACCCTCTCGGGGCCTTTGCTGGGAGTTCTGGCGGTTCCTTTTACCTCCCCGACACTCAGAGCCCCGTCCGCTCTGCGCCCAGCCGGAGGCTTGGATTAGAGTTTATTTCCTGCCTTAGTTTGCTTTGGGGCAGGTGAACAGAAGGCAACACAATACTCTTGCTTTAAACGAAACTCAAAGGGCAGAGGAGAGAGAAGTCTGAGCTCCGCCTCCTGGTGCCCCCTTCCCACACACGTGCTGTCCTGGCTTCCTGGCATGCGTTCCTGGGCTCCCGGCGCAGGAGGGACCTGCCACGGGAACGACAGAAAGGCGCCCGCAAGGGACTCGCATGCAGCCATCTGACCACACGCTGAACTTCCCGTGTCCGTTCTAGAAGCAATGTGTACTCATTTGTTGTCTTAATTATTGACTGTTCCTTTTGTGTGTTGAAGTGATTTTCTAATGTAGTCCCTTCCCCCCAAAAACATTAACGTAGCAATGACAACTACCAAAAACTGGAGGTTCGGTTTCTCACAGCAGTTAGCTGGCTTATGCGGCGGCCATAGAGCTGACCTGCTCTCTAGGGTTGCACAGAAGCTGGGAAAGAGGGTTGATTGGCAGGCGAAGGTCCCCTGTGTGGTGGGATCCGGCGCGTACGAGCCGCATGCTGACGCTGAGCGGCTTCTCTTCTGCAGCAGCCCACCCTGTCCGACATGACCATGTACGAGATGAACTTCTCGCTGCTTGTGGAGGACATGCTGGGGAACATCGACCAGCCACAGTACCGGCAGATTGTTGTGGAGGTGGGTGCCCCTTACTGCCCCCCGCGCATATGTGGGCCCTGCCTCCTGCCTGCCACCCCCCTCACTTCCCCCACCGCCCCCCCTCCCCGGCCCCGGCCGCTCATGTCCAGGCGACCGGCCTAGGTGTTGCGCTCCTCGTTGGCCCGGAGCCCCGACCCCGAGCCCTGACCTGGAGCCCCTCCAGCAGGGCCCTGAGGAGGGCGGCGCTGCTGAACCCCAGTCGATGCCCACGGACAAGCCGAACACCTGGAACCCCCCAGGGCAGAGAGGGACAGGCCGCCTCTCTCTGTGCACGCTCGCCCCTGCGCGGCAAGCGAGTTCACACATCGCAAAAGAGCCAGTTGCCGCCTTCTGTCCATTGTCTGTGTGGCTCTTTCCGGGGTGGAAACAATGCGTGGCTGTTGTAAAGTGTCCGCAGCCCAGAGCCGGGGTCGGGCAAAGGTGGGGCCGGGCAAAGGGCCAGTGCTGTCCTTGTCCTGTCGGCCTTTCGCTGCCTGGGGCCCGGCACCCGGACCTCCTGTGCCTGCAGAGGGGCTCCCTGCGGCCGCAAGGGGCCCTGCCCGGGTGGAAGCAGCTTCCCTTTAGGACGGGGCAGAGCACCGCACTCCTGGCTCAAGCCCTCCCCAGGGTCCCCCAGGCTGCGGCCCCTGGGTTTTTCCGAACGTGTTTCCCATGGTTCTTTCTAGGTTTGCTTTGGAGACGTGTCAATAAAGAACAGTCAGGGAGGTCCCCGCACTGGGGGTCGTTAGGTCTTGTTCATGTCCCAGGAACAAAGGAGGAGCTGTTGCCGCCAGGAAGCCTTTGCCAAGCGTTGTGCGCTCATACTCACTGCGCAGGGCGGCGTAGCCTCCCGAGTGAGCGCCACCGCTTGGGGCCGGGCGTTCGGGGAGCCAGGCTCTCGGGCGCTGCCTCACGCCGAGGCGCAGATGGGTCGCGCCCGCATGACAGAGAGGCCAGGGCCACGTGCGCATTCTAACACAGCCGCCCGGTACGGCGCTGGCACAGAACGAGGCGCGTGTCGGGGCGCTGGGCCCCCGGCCACTCGGTTGCGAGCCTAGGTCCGGAGCCCCCACTGGCCCTGTCCTCCCGCCACCTCTCGGGAGGCCCCGGCCCCGCTGGACGCTGGCGTTGGCATCCTGCCAGGGAGGAGCCACGCCCAGGGCGAGGGTGCGCCCTGGTGCCGTCGGTGGAGCGGGCGGGGAGGGCCATTCTCCTGAGCGGCTGGTTTTACTTTGTTACCGAACGACGCTTGCGTGCCGCGAGGAGGGGAGTGGCACGCTGTGAAAACAAGGTGCCGTCCCCGTCGTACTGACGCCGCCAGCAGGTCGGGCTCAGCGGGCTCTGTCCTTGGGCAGAGCCGCCCGTCAGTCGAGGAAAGAGGGCCACTCCCGGTCACTTGCTCTATGGTTGCTTCATGGGCGTCCCTGTCTGTCTCTTGCAGCTGCTCATGGTTGTGTCCGTTGTCCTGGAAAGGAACCCAGAGCTGGAGTTCGAAGACAAAGTCGACCTGGACAAGCTGGTTAAAGAAGCGTTTCAGGAATTCCAAAAAGACGAGAGCCGACTGAAGGACACAGGCAAAGAAGTGAGTAGAAAAGCAGCTTTCTGCAGATTGCTGTCCGTTGTCTCGGCTCTTCCAAACATCCCTAACGTCGCATCAGTTACCTTACCCGGCGGGTTTATTGAGTGCAAAGCAGTGCTGGGCGGGGGCCGGGGGCCGGGGGCCGGGAGCCTGACTTCCTGAGGAGCTACCATCACACCACCTTCCCGCCCACTGGGAGCTGGTTGGGCCGTGAGGTCGGACTGAAAAGGACCCGAGGACGGGATGAGTTTCCTCTGTGGAGGCGGCGGTCGAAATGCGCTCTACGGGCAGCGGCCTGGGTTCTGCGAGGCCGTAAATCCCCATGGGGCGTGCGGACCAGGCCCCAGCGTCCTGGCTCACTGCGCACCAGCCACGGTCCCCTGCAGAGAGCGTCCCTAAGTAATGAGCGGATCCCGCACACGGGAGGGGGCCCCAGGCGCCCACACATGTCCTGTGCGCTGAGAAGGTGCCTCGGGAGAGCGAGAGGCCAGCGCTGAGCTCCTCTCCCCACACGGAATCTCTGCGCGAGTCCCCCGGCCTGACGCCGATTCCGCCGATCCGCTCTTCACCGACCGTGAAACCGAACGACTTGCTTTCTGTTCTCCTTCGCAGGACGGCATGACTTCCTTCTACAACACCCCCCCGCTGGGCCAGCGGGGCACCTGCAGCTATTTGACGAAGGTCGTGATGAATTTGCTGCTGCAGGGGGAGGTCAAGCCAAGCGGCGACGACCCGTGCCTGGTCAGCTAGCGAGGAGGCGGGCGGGCTCAGCTGAGCCCCGCCTCCCCGGGCGCGCCCCGCTGCATGGAAGCTTCACCGGGGCGCCGCAAAGGGACGCGCCGCAAAGGGACGCGCCGGGCCTGCTGGGGAGGCGGTCGCCCGCCCCTGTCGAGGCCGTCGGGCCTGCCGCCTGCCCGGGCCCGCCTTGCGGTAAGAAGTGCTTGTGATCCAGGGAAAGACATTCTCGTGGTCACGCCCGCTACAGCCACAGCCTTCACTAACAACAGAACCGTGTGTGACTTGAAAGTTCCCCACTGCATGTGTCATGATCAAGTAGCTCATCAGAATAAATCATAGCTCTTTGGACTGAGTTCCTCACGCGCTGCCATGAAAGTGGGTTTGCCGAGTGGCCGTCTCCCTGGGAGTGAAGGGCCATCGGGCGGGCGGCGACCTGCTCGGTGGCGCGGTCATGCTAGAAAATACATATCAAATGCATCATGAGGGCAGACCGAGCCAGCTGACGTTTTGATTTTCAGAAACTGCATTGTTGGTAAAATTCTAGTTTACAGAACTACTGTAGAGTTTTTATCTTGTAAACTTGACAATGGCTTTGTATTTGTGCTAACTGTAGGAGTGGGACTAAAACACCATCATAAATTTGATCCAACATCTATGATACTTGTATTACAAACACCAGTAAGACCAGGTCAAATATTTTCTGTGAGTTCTTGCTAAAAATAGGACGTGGAAGATTATTCAGAAGTATGGATGGCTAACCTAGTTTGTATTAGTAAAAACAAAAATAAATGTTACTAAGTTTTATTTCTGAATTAATGAGTATATCTGGACACATTCTTTGTCCTCATGTTCACAATACTGAGTTTAATATTCCTGAATATTTTTGTTCATGTGGAGTTGATGTGGAGACAGAATAGAAGAGAATATACGGTACCTACCATTACACATACTTTGCTATCACACTTCCTTAAGAAAGTGTTAATAAAAATAGAAAGCAGATTAAACATTTAAGTTTTATGAGTTTGTTTTCTTACTGAAAGATCCAGTGCGGCCCGTGAGAGACTTTTCTCAACAGCCTTCGTAGGGAGTTTCACCTGAGAAGTCAGGCTTGTCACACAGTGCCGCCTGTTGAAGAGTCTGGACAAGACTAAGAAATAAAGGACAAGTGGCTTCCGGAACAATCCCACTGATATCAAATAACTGGATGTGTGGGCACACGGGAGGCGGGCAGCACATGCCGCAGCTCTGAGGGGGTCGCACGCGTGCTGGTGGCAAAGCTGAGGAGGAGGCCACGCCTGACCTGTGGAACGTCTCCAGGGGAGGGGGAGGATGGAGAAGAGTGGATAGGTTAAGAGAGGAAGCTACAAAAAGAGATGATGAACCTAGTTTATAAAGCAAGCATGAAAAAAAAAAATAACCTTGAGGTGCACGCGGAGAGAACTGAGGACTGACGCCTCCAAGCCGGGGAGCTGGAAATAAAGAGCAAAAGCCGTGTGGAGGGTTTGATTTTTGCTGAAATCTGGAGGCCAGTGAACTGTGCTGTATTTTTAAGAATTTTTTAAAAAGCCTGATGAGCCGAGCAGCGTTGCCAGAAATCTGTCGCCGTCTCGGTTGAGATCAAAGGTCCCCTGCGAATGTGTGTTTCCTCCCTGTGCTTCCGCTTCCTGCTGCCTGGTGTGTGTGCAGGACCCCGGAGCCCTCCCACCTCCCGAAGGCACTCGGAGTCGGACGCACGGACCGACCTCTGGTTTTGGTGGAATTCAAAATTTATTGTTCGGAAAGATACGTTGGCATCAGGAAATCTTGATGTTCACCTCCATAAAAAACAATGTGTTTTCCTATTAGAAAAGCAAATAATAGCTCCTGGCTGGTGTGGCTCAGTGGACTGCGCACCAGCCTGCGAACCAAAGGGTCGTCTGTTCAATTCCCAGTCAGGGCACAGGCCTGGGTTGCGGACCGGGTCCCCAGTAGGGGGCGTACGAGAAGCAACCACACATTGATGTTTCCCTCTCTCCCTTCCCCTCCCTAAAAATAAATAAAACCTTTAAAAAGAAAAATAAAAGCAAATAATAATAAGAATTAGGACACAGAACTTAGGAACTGCAGACGTTCCTTTGCCCTACAGAGCCCAAACGCTTTCCCAGCTGTCCTAGGGGCTGGCGGCAGCTGAGCGCACATGTCCCCAGGTGTGACCAGAGTGAGATCTGAGGGGAAGCTTCCCCCCTCGCAGTGGCCAAGCCTCTGTGTCGGTTCATTGTATAAGCGACGTCTGCTGGAAGCTTCTGACTGCGTATCAAATTCAACTGCCTTTCCAGAGCATTGTTTTTAAAAACATGGTATTTTCCAGATCTTCCATGTTAATAAGCCTGAAAAAGTCCTATTTCAGTTTTACCAACTCAGAGTGTGGGGCCGCTGGGATGTGGCCTTCAGTGTGTGATCAGCTTGCAGTGCCTGAGGACAGCAAAGGACAGGGAACACCCAGACAAACCTACCTCCGCACCGGAGCCCTGAGGCGCAGGCCCTGACTGCCCTGAGCCTTCCCCCGCGAGCACGCGTGTGGAAGAGCCGACATGTGACCGCGGAGGAGCTGACACGGGCACAGATGGCTGTGCGGGACAGAGACGGCACCCGCACACAGGAGAGGCAAGAAGCAAGGCTTTGCAGCAAGAAGCAGCGCAGAAGCCTTGTCACACGCCGCTGGACCACTACATCCCTCTGTCTCAGAGGCTAGAAACTTGAATGGAAAATGAGGGAGGACGTTTGAGCCAAGCACCCCGGGTGGCCCTCGGCCTTGGACCAGAAGCCCAGGAAGGCAGAGCAAGGCTGAGACTCAACTGGAACTTGCATTGGGCCCCTCTGCTGGCCTCCCGGAGGCTGGGCGGGTGAGGACAACATCAGCAGATAAATGATAAAAGCCTGACACAGCTGGAGGGACTGCGCGGGCCACACCTGTGTTATCCTCCTGCATTGTTACCAGCCAGCCCACGTGGCCTCCGTGTGGCTCCGAAACAGGCACCCTTTCTGGGCGCACGCAGCCCCGAGGGAGCAGGGCCAGCGCTTTTGTGCGCAGGCGGCCGTTTCTCGGGAGCAGAGACAACCCCGCACCAGCGCGCACGGCCGGGACGGCATGGCCGGGGCACCTCGCGCACCACACAGACCACGTGGCTGTCGCAGCTGCGCCCCACAAGGAAGGGGGCGGCTGTTGGGAGTGGGCATTTCGATCTTTCACCTGGGAGGCATGGAGGGAGGGAGGCAGGTGAGGGGCAAGGGGACCGTGGCCCCCAGGCTCCCCGTCTCCAGCGGCGGGTGGCCCGGGAGTGGGTACCTGCCTGCGGCCTGCGGGGGCTTGCGGGCAGTGGGGAGCAGGTTTGGTAAGTGGTCTTGTTTCCCCTGTAATTTTGTTTTCATGCTACGGGACCTGAGCTGACTCCACCTAGTCACAGGACATCCTGTGTCCGGGGACAGCGCCCTACAGGGCCAGGTTGTCCCTCCACACAGGGGGCATTGACTCTTTCTCAGCGCCCGAGAAGGAGGGACCCAGTGGAAACAGCCTGGAGAGGACAACCGAGTGGAGCTGGGGAAGGTTCCGAAGACCAGCCGCACTGTGTCCGTGCACCCACGGAGTTCCCAGTCCGAGCATAAATCTACTTTACAAAATAGAGCATCCTCCACAGCGAATGCTCTGGGAGGAGTTAAAGAGAAAAGGAATCAATGAGGGAAGAAAGCAAAGACAAAGTAAGACAGTGCCATGAGGAAGAAAAAGGAGCTGAGGAAACACGTTGCATAAATTAGAAACGGCAAAACACAAGACAGACACCACTGGAAACCCTCGTGCTGACTCAGGGGAAGCTGGGAAGCTCAGCCACACGCTGGCTGGACATCGGCTGTGCGTCAGAGGCCGGGCGCAGCGACGGGGAAACAAAGACAAACTTCTCTCCTGGCGGAGCTTAGATCCCAGTTGGGGGTGGGAACATGGGACTGACGAGCCGTCAGAAACGCCACGGAGAAGCACAGATGGGGGCGGGCACGCTGTGGCGAAGGTAATCCGTCTCCCTGGGGTTGTGGAAGGGCCGCTGACAGCGGCCTCGCCCGGAGAGCTGATGCCAGTGAGTCAAATGGACGCGGCTGGACGGGGCGGGCGAGGCTGATCCCCCTGGAGAAAACCGGTCGGGATCCACAGGTCGGGAAGGCTACGCCGGGCGCAGGAAAAAAGCAGAGATGGGACAACGTTGTCCCTAAATAAGAACCGAATCTTCAGATCACGAGAACACACTGTGTTCCAGAAAAATCGGAAGAGCATTGAACATCTGGGAGAAGCTGGGACCAAAAACAAAGAAAGAGTGTGTATGTGTGAGCCATCATCTGCACCCTGGTAATTTAACCAGCGTGAGTATCACACAGAAAGCAAGTGTCTGAAAATGCAAGGAGAAATGAAGACAGAGTCACTTACCTGGGACTGAAGCACTTGACTAACCTAAATAAGGGACTCATATAATCACTGACATACAACTATCCCATTCCACGTCCAAACAAGCGGCATCGCGCGCCTCAGGAGCTGAATAAATGCCCGCTGACAGACAGGAAAAGAGGGTGGGTAATAAATGGTTAACGTGAGCGGCAATCCTCCGGTCTTCTGAAAACGGGAGGGGGACTCGGCCGTTTAGTAGCTTTATGTGATCAAGGACCGTGTGGTGAGCGTTCGAGAAGTTCACTAAACCTGCACATGTTTCTCTCTCCTAGAAAATGAAAGGTAAAAAAAAATTGTAAGCTCGATGCTTACGAGAACCACTGATGAATTACGTTTGTCATTCGAAAGCAAAAAGCTGAGAACTCCAACTTTGTAAAAATAGCTTTGTAGTCACATTCTGAAGCTGGAAGCTTTTACGCAAATGAATAATACAAGCGATTTTTCAGCTTCTGCGGAGCGGGGAGGTGACGAACCGGAACGGGTGGCGTCAGCAGTAAGAGCTGCTCGCGGCCGCGCGGGCCAGGCCCACTGATCCCCTCTGTCGTGCGTGGGGGGCGACCAGCAAGGGTCCTGCCGCTGCCTGCCCAGGGCCC